CCTCTTGGAAAGAAGGGGAGAACTAAGGACCTTGAGACCCTAGAAAATTATTAGTAATCCTGAATATATTTCAAGCCCTTACAGCCCTTGTTACATTTCCATCCTTAAAACTACCCTTTACATTACTGACAAGAGAGCTTTGGCAACAGTCCGCAAGTAACCTCGAAAAGTCTATTAAGGTTTATTTGTATTATGGAAATTCTCTATAATATAACTGAGTTTCGCTCGAAATATACTATGTTTCGACAGATAGAGGCAATGTCGTTGTCTCGAGCCAAAATAACATTAAAATTTAAGACCGGGATGGCAACAGGATTTACAATTGGTATATTGCATAGCATCCGACGAGGGGAACGTAAAATTACGGAAGATCAAATAATATACTCCCCTTTGTATCATTGGTTTTTTTATACACTTGTACTGTCAAACCAGGTAGGTACCTAGGTAGTGTTATGAGGTGGACTAAGAAGGAAACAACTTCGTTATTCCGCGAGGAACATTAAGCTAGCTACAGAAGTCTACGACTATACACACTGAAAGTGTCATTTTCTCTAAATGTCTCATCTAGAATCCTGGCAAATAGCAACCTAATGTGTTATGGGTTATATTTGCGAGTAAGTCCTGCCTATGATCTGCTTCAAATGTCGACTTGCAATATTTGTTAGTAGTATTAAAGGGGTTGGTTATTTGCATTCAATAGGTAAAGTCGCGGTCTAGAGACTTCCGAGAGACTAGATGTAAAGATGCAAGCAATAAGTGAGAGCACAACTCTTGTCTCCAGGACAAGGATACTCTGCTAACAGGTAGGTAGATTGCATTTGCTGGGGAGGTTTCTAGAGCTATTACTAATAGTATTTGCATTTTCTATTGAAGCGACTAATATAAACATACTACTATTGCTTCTTCCGGGTACTTGCTATTGATACCCCTACTGTGGTTCCCCATTCAAGTAATAGCAAGAAGATTCGCATGGAGGCAACTGAATATCCTGTGGCAAATTACATAAGGGATAAAGGTCAATGAATGCTTAACTTATCAAGTTTAATCTGATGTATATATTACGTACCTACGATGTGCATCCTCCAGTCTTTTACTAGTGCTGATACTTTATGAAATCCAGTAGCGTATCAAGACAACATGATAGACCTGCAAATCAATATATGTTGATGCAATTTTCAAGTCATCTCCATAGAAATAAAGCGCTACCAAATTTTGTAAAGCATACACGTATGTATTTCAATTGCCAATGAGTCTCTTTTTGGGGCTCCTGCGCTTTGTTGGCAACTAATAGAAGCTGCAGTAGCGTGGACAGCAAGTCTTGTTGGAGGGAACTGAATAGTCTAGCCCTAGACTAAACAGCGTTGAGGTGCATCATTGGCGAGTTTCAATCTTTAGTTCCGGTTGAGTTTTCCATGGTTCTGAGGGGATGGGCTAACATTGGTTAGCCAATAGATGATGTGAATTCTATACGCAAACGTTGTGTTAGCCTTATTATTTTTACGATGTCCCAGAGTGGAATTAGCTACAGCTTTGGATGCCCAATAAATGGCATTTGGGCATACAATTCGCTGGCAATATCCAACAATGGTACAATCAGAAACTCAATCTCGCTCTTACGTGTCTGGCCCCTACCATCGTTCAAATAGGATGCAACTGTTAATTCCGCTGCAGGGTCCGCTCCACTCACTACGACGCTGTGATGGGGACTCATCCCATTATGTTCGTACACAACAGCTGATCCGACTTAGCCACTCACTGATTATACGAATATCAATAATTCTATCAACACTGTAGGTGTAGCTAACGAAGATCCATCCTCTATAAATGGCTTCACGACCGCCCGCCAAAATGTCGAATGCTCATTCCAACTTTACACTTTATCTGGTATTGTAAGATCACATCATGTATACACAAATCGATTCCAACGACGCAAGATTCCGATCCGATGCCTCTGGTGTCGGATCGAAGCAAGCTCCCTCTTCCGATTCGGCTATCCCGACCTTGAAATTGAGTGATGGGAACGAGATGCCCATGGTAAGTTTCCAATTCGGACCCCCGATCGAATAGCACTAGACTCATACTTCGGGATGTAGGTTGCATATGGCCTGGGTATGGCCTTTAGCCAAGGTGACACGGAGCATATTGTGAGCTCTGCACTCAGGGGAATTAAGAGCGGTTTCAACCACTTAGATGCCGCAGAAGGTGAGGCAACATGAATTGTCCCTGTTATGAGTAATTTTCTAACAAAAACTTGTAGCGTATGGCAATGAGAAGGGACTCGGCATAGCCATCCGAAATTCCGGAGTACCGCGCTCGCAACTCTTCATTACCACCAAGGTGTGGACGGTAGCGACGACCGTAAAGGCGGCTTTCGAGGCTTCGCTTGAGCGACTCGGTGTCGATTACGTCGACTTGTACCTGGTGGGTTGGCCACAGATCGCCGATACTCCCGATCGTCTGCAGCAGATCTGGGCCGAGGTCGAAGCCATCCGGGAGAGCGGCAAGGCACGGTCCATTGGCGTCTCCAACTTCCTGCAGGACCACTTGCAGACGATCCTCAAGACAGCTAAGGTTAAGCCTGCCGTCAACCAGATTGAGTACCACCCGTACCTACAGCACGGAAACCTCATCGACTTCCAACGCCAGAACAACATCGCGACTGCGGCGTACTCGCCGCTCACAGCGCTTACGAAGGCGCGCCCTGGTCCCGTTGACGGCATCTACGCTTCGCTTGCCAGGAAGTACGGCGTCTCAGAGGCTGAAATCGCACTTCGGTGGGCCATAGACCAGGGCATTGCGGTCGTCACGACCAGCAGCAGCGACGAGCGCCTGTATAGCTTAAGAAGGAAGCTACCCACATTCAAGCTCACGGCTAGCGAGATCGCGGAGATCACAGAACTTGGGAAGAGGAAACACTTCCGCGGGTTCTTCAACGATATCTTTGCCCCCGAAGATAGGCGTTAAGCCTTTGGGCATATTTGGTTAGAGGGTTTTTGATTTCGACAAGTAAAAATGTGCCTCCGTAGCACGACATTAAGGCGTCTAGTAAATTTGAGGTTCGGATAGGGGGTTTTGATATAACCAAATAGTATCGTGTTAAATCTCGATGGGAACAATAGCTTAGCAATATAGGCGCTCTTGCCACTACATCGAAATCGATGTAGTTACCTACCTATGCTAAATCCAATTCTGCAAACGCACTATTCTGACCATTCCGTGCTACCATTAGGCGACATGGAAGCAACGAGATGCACACAATAGAGGTCCTTTAAAAACCATTAAAATCGCTCGTGAATGCGTGGTCTCATTATCCTAATTGTCATACGGTCATAATTCATCATCAGACTCCGTTTCTTCGTCGTCAACTGGTTTCCGTGCTGGAGTTGTAGGCTTCTTGTTTCTCATAAACGGTAAACTTCGGGGTGGTGGAAGTGGTTTGCTCTCCTCCTGTGAAGCCTCAGATTGAGAGTTTCCTTCTACCGACGTTGACGCACGAGTGTTGCGTGTCGGTACAGTAGCCTGATTCCTCCGGGATTTGACCGGTGGGGGTACTGGCTCTTCGTCTGTGTCTGCTTCACTTGCCGTCTCGCCTGCTGTAGTATCCCCATGATCCTCCTCAACGTCTGCCTGCGCATTCTCATTATTACCCTCTTCGACATCCATCCTCTCGAATCCATCATCACTGCTTTCTTCTTCCTCTTTCACTTTTCGCTTGGAAGCACGAGATGATTCAGGTACGCGCTTCCGTGTGATCTGGACACCATTGACGTTTGCGAGTTTTTCGGGATCAATACTCGCCGATGCTAGTAGACGCTGCTGCTGCCGGATCTTAACCTTCTTCTCATTTATTAGGTCTCGGAACTTCTCAAGCAACTGCGTCTCATCCTCATCCTTTGCCTTGATAAATTCATCCAATTGACCTTTGAGCTCGACAAGAGAATCCTCGAGGGACTGGATCTTGAGGTTAGCAGCAGCCAGATCCTCCCCAACTTTCTCTCGGGCTCCAAGAGCTGAAATGCACCAATCGAAAGGGGAAATTTCGGTCTTGTCATCTTCTTCTAGCTTGATAGACCCAAGACGTTGCTATAAATTATAATTAGTGATGGATCCTGGACAGTGTCCTTAGAGTACGCATACTGTAATACCCTGGATATTCTTTCGAAAAGAGATAGAGACCGAGGTGCCATCCGAATGAGCATCAGCTCTAATCTCGATGTCAGGTACTGGCTGCTGATTGACTAATGTTGAAACCAGGATCTCTTCCCACTCTTCATGGGAGCAAGGGCCACTAGATGCTTTGTAGTCGCCGACCCTTTTATGGCGTACTATGAAACCATTTTAGCTTCCGATCCTTTTGAGATATGATGATGTATTAAATTCGCGAATAGATCTGCTGAAGTAAATAAGACTCACATTTCATTGTGAACACAGCTGTGCTTTCTGACCCAACCAACTTGAGATCTAATAACCGCGATCCATTGGAGGACACCTCTAGGAGGAAGTATCTGCCACTTTCTTTGCCCGAGATGGGAAAGCGTAATATTGAGGCTTCTGCCATTTTTGGGAGCTTTGAGATGAGTCAAGGCAATTGGTCTGCAGTCGTAGAATTCAAATGGTCCTTTGACAGTGCCTCTAATGTCTTTGTTACGGCTAGTTTGAATGAAAGAGCACCGATGCACCTCTAAAAGTATAAATGAGTATCTCTGAGTCCCTTGTTTGTATTAATCAGAGATGGTGCTATCACCATTTTACTAGGTACCGTAAAGAAAAGATAATGTAATCAAGGCAAGCATAAATGACAGGTTCTTAAAGCAGGTGTTTTTATGAAGATGGAGACCTTGTCTTGTGAATTATAGAGGACGTTTAGTTTGTTTGATTTGATATGAGGCTTAAGAGCAAGTGAATTAGTTAAAGTGACCCAGTAATTAGGCAGTTGCCTGGCTGCCTACAACAACTTGAAGTTGTGATGAAATTGTATTACGTGGGTACGAAGTACCTACGTACAAAAAGTTACATGACATTGGTGCCACTGAGGGGGTGGGGAAGAATAGACACATGTATCTTTGTGCTCAGTACCTACGAGGCCGAGTATTTGCATTAAACGGCACCAAATTTGAATGACACATAAGGACCGTAAGAAGAAAAACATACGCACCTGTGTTTTATCCTCAGTATTTTTTACTGGATTTTGAATCCTCATTTAGTAATCATTTAGGCGCATTGCGCATGTCTTTTAGAGGTAAAAACACATACAAAGGTACGTACCTAAGTACCCTTATGAGGGGTCAAAATCGCGTTTTTACAGAAGGCGCGTCGCTGTCGCGCTAAAAGAAAAGAACTTTGATTGGCTGAGTACCTAAGTTGTTGATACCCTGTAGCCCTAAATATGGTCTGTGCATTAACCCCCCAGCCACCAAAAACCCAAGAGGTACCTGAATTGTACCTGAACAGCCAGAAAGGAATCTAGAGGCACGAGCCAGCCATTCAAGATTTTCCAGGCTTGATTTGGGTGCACTGACCTTTCCCCATTTCAACACCTCATCCACTTTCTCCCATCTCTCTTCCAACGAATGTGAATCCACACCCGCATCCACACCTTGTTTTTGTATGAGAATTCAACCAAGTCAATCTTTCTCGCGCCTGTCCAGATGCCTTAGATACCTACCTTCAGTCTCTTACCCAAACTCTCTTTTATCTATATTTCGTCATAGAAAGATTTGCAAACGGGCAACACTCGATTTGCTTGTTTTAATCCATAGGCAAGCTTTTACTGTGCAGTTGTTAAGGTAACGGTTAACTAACCTAACTCACAAACCTTAACGTAAACTTGATACACCTGTGCCAAACTTGCGACAACTTCCCCCAGCCTCCCTTCCCTTGACTTTTACGTTCACCTCGTATTGTTGCGCCCATACCAATTCAACTGGTCTCACTTATCCACATTCAACTTTTCGCGCTTGGCGTCGCAGTCGCGGAAACTCCAAATTCATTCAGTTGGCGTTCCTACCTATTCTGTACCCAGTTTCGGAGTACGTAACAATCGATCAATGAGAATATCGAAATGATGCGACTAGCCGCAGACTACCACTAACCAAGAGTGTTCTTTTCGGACATTGGCCTCTATCTGTGGCCACTCTAACCTGGCCACCCCGACTATCACATTACTTTTGGACGTGCATCGTAAATTCACCTAACCTACCGGGCTATTTACGATGGCGTATCCTCCGGATTGGGAGAAGATGGATCTTCTAGATAAACTCCATGCACTCGAGAAAGCCGAGGAAGAACGAACTGCAGAACCGCAGCCTCGCGAAAGAAAGAGCTGGATTGAGGCTTGGGATGATGACAATGATTTCGTTATTGATAATGAGGATCTCACTTTCCGAAGTAATTCCACTACAAATACGCAATCTCACCACCGTGATAGCCTCTCTTCCTTTCGATCCGATCGGGAGTCTCTACCTGGAAACGACGAAAGACAGTTGCATTTACCCGGCAATGACGAGAAGTCAACCATGGATGCGATTGCTGCTGCTGCTCATGCAGGAATTCCGATACCTACGAACGTGCCGCCGTCTGCTTTGATGGGAGGTACCATAAAGCGATTGGGAGGAAGAAAAATGAAGAAGATTTTCCAAGAGGATTATGGTGACGATTTAGAGTTTCCTATTACTGGTCCGCTTCGTTTAAAGCCCCAGGACGGCAAAGCGTACCCCGAGTCCCTAAGACAAATAAGCATGTTGAGCCCCACGAAACAGCAAACTCCGATTACTGCCCGGGAGCCACATGGGCAAATTTCGCCAAAGACCTTAGCAACACCTATCAACTTGGACAGATTTCGAGATAACGATGACGACGATGATGTCTTCGGCGACGGAGCCGCAACTATCAAAGCCCCAAAGCTTCGTCCCGAATCTCGACCTATATCGTTGATAACTCCGCCTACGCCTTCACCTCACAAAAAGCGAGGTGATGAGGACATTGAAGGAGATTTAGAGCTGCCATCAGATGGATTATTGAAGCTTTCTAGAAAGATGGACATCCCTAAGACGCCGGCATTGAATCCAAGCGATGACTTTGACTGGGGAGAGGGTAGCTTAGGAACTCGATTTGGCGGTACAAAGCGAGATGTCTTTTCAACCCGCAGTTCGTCAGTATCGGCCCTCAGTCCAAGTCTCGCTAGTTCTATCACAGCTGAAAGCGAGGACGAAATTTTCGATGGTCTACTTCTGCCGAATGGTCCTTTGGACCTAAGCGAACGGCTGAAACGACGCAAGCAAGATCGATCCCCAGATGGACGGCCTAGGCATTCTGTGCTGGGAAAGCGCGTTTCGTTACCTAATAATGCAGTTAAACCTACAGCAGACAACGAAGACCCCTTGGATGGTCTTGACTTTGGTGATGGGGATGTGCTCCGCCCCGACAAGTCTACGTTACATCGCAATGTCAAGGTCAGAGAAACTCGACTAGTTAGTCCTACACGACCGAAGACATCGATCTCTGTAACCTTCACCAATAAACCGGTTACATCGGCACCTGTCTCCCGTCTTCCCCGACCTATGGGTAACCATGAACGTGCACAGACTCAGCCTTCGCTTGAACCTGTATCCGAAAGCGGTGGCCCTATACTCCCACGACCTTCTCGAAGATCTCAATCACGCCTTGGTCACTCCTCGCAGTCTTCCATCTCAAGCATCCACACGCCTACTACACCCTCCTCGGCACAGTCAGCCCAATTTTCTACTCCACGAAGAAGAGATCTGAGCCAAAAGGCTTCTATTGGAGCCTTGCGTAACGAACCTACTACGACAAGCGCACAACTACTTAGGCTAAAGCGCTCTCTACCAGCTTTGCGTCATTCTACTGCGCCAGCGAAGCCTGCATCTTCGCGGTTTGATCGACCACCCTCGCGCACCGATTCACGCGTCGAGTCTAGCAGACCCCAGTCTATCATACGACCGAAGACTCCAGTTGATCGAGCTCGTCCAGTTTATGAAAGTAGTGCAGCACAGGCAAGAAGAAACCCCTTCTTACCCGCCGGTGCATCTCAATCTCAGTCGCAGCATGTGAGCGCCAAGAGTACGCAGGGTACACGACCGTTTCGACGTCACGATTCCGATCATGGCCCAGAATTTCGACCCCCATCTCGTGCCTTCTCTCGGACAGCGGCGAGATCGCCAAGCCCAAGAAGAGCACGTAATGACAAGATGTCAGCCGAGCCTATATGGCAACAGATCAGCAAGCCGCGAAGAGTGCGCCGCTTTGGTGATGGTCATGAACTTGACTCATTTGATGATCTTCCGACATCAGCGCAGGCTGAATCCAAGTTTGTTAAGCAGCCAGTTGCATGCGGAAATAGAACAAATATCCGAAACAAGATTTACCAGAATGTTTTGCCAGAGAGAACTACGCCAAGTCCTGTATCTCCTTTCTCGCCAGCGAGACTCGACTCTTTACCGCACTTTGCCCGAGATACAGCTGCCAGCCGCATTGCCAGAGAGACGATCTTAGCACAGCGAGCACCTGCCTCGGGACCACTCGCTCCTGTCACTAACCAGAGGGTTGCGCAGCTATCTGCCAGGGGAGGGTTTGGGCTTCACAGCTATAACACACCTAGGGCTAAGAGGTCTCAAAAGACCCCCCAGCTCAAGCCGCACTTAATTTCTAACCTGAGCTCCGCAAAGGAAACCAAAGGTAGGCCTACTGCCCCCAAGAATTCAGAACAATCCAAGACACATGAGCAGCATCAGATAGCTCGAGTACATAAAGCATTCCAAATCTCCCAGTCTCCCAAGCATCTTCAAAAGCTGCACAAGCCAGAGATACGGAAGTGTCCAACATCTCGCATCCCCCAATCCCCCGAGAGGCTCCAAAAACTCCGCGACTCCAATGCATCCAAGAGATCACCAGTGGCTGGGAAGTCCCCCACACCTAAAAAGCCTGCAGCATCTCTTAAGCATCAGGGACTTCTCAAAGTGCAAGCTCATAAGTTCAGAATATGCCAAGAGGCATTATCAGTTAAGATCGTCCAAACACCTGGGAAACCCCAACCATCTATGAAGTCTCAGAGACCCCAAATATCCTTTACCGCACAAAAATCTAAACATTCTCAGGAAAGCAACGCTAACTCACAGATATCAGTTGTTAACGGCATGACATACAACCCAACAACGTTCCGTTGGGAGGGAAATGATAATGCTCTCAGTGCATTCGATGTCCAAGCTCCGTCCCCCACAGCATCTATCCCCCCTCACGTAACGCGCGATAGGGAGGGCTCTACTTCGAGGCCAGTACTTATTACTAATATGACTGCCACTAAAGGTGTCAAGCGGGTTGGTGACATGGTTTTTGATCCACAAAATATGTGCTGGCTGAAAGCAGATGTGAACCCGTCTGTATCTGATGACCCCATGGAAGGTTTTAATGCGATGGACGACGACGACGATCCTTTCAAAGATATTCCTGACCTTGATGACAAGGATAAGGACTCGGTTGGTCATGGCCGGGGAAGCGACCTTAGGGATGACTGGCTAGTAGGCGAAGAATTCGACGTCGGCCCGGAATTTATTAGGCGTCAACACGAAGAGGAGTCACGATGGCGCCGAAAGTGCGGTCCTTGGAGCAACATTGGTAATCGGAACCGGGTTGACATACGATGGGCATTAAGAAAGATGATTATGGAGCAGTAATGAACGCCACCAATCAACGAGTAGATATGGCCGACGCCCATTATGACGACACAATACTCATGGGCTTCAACCCCACATGAAATGGGCACAAGTCCTACGTATGATACATTTCCTTGGCGTTCAAGAAGGTAAACACCTTTTAATCCAGAAGGTAAGGGGTACACCCCGTTCACTTCTGTTATTTTTACGACTTTCCTACGTATCAAAGGGAAATGTACAACATGGATGAGACAGAAGCGGATTGGCCCGCATTACGAAATGAGACTACGGCAAACACTAACGCCATCTACATTAATAATGATTCCGACGGTCTGGCATATCTCTCCGACTTGGAGACGGAGCCGAATTATGCTTCAGAGAAAAAAGGGCATTGGCCATTGGTTTACGATGGATAGGGTATGATATTAAGACTTTAATGACCTGCTACGTTTTATGATTTTGAGATGCAAAGATAGACGATCAACGGACAGGGAGGATAGTTCTGCTCGGGCAGGCCACGCCTCAATAACAAATAAAGGAAACGGGATTAATATATAAAGCCACGTCTACAAATTATTATTCGTATTACACATGCCACTACCCGCTTACAGTCTTGCAAATCAGTTCTCGGCCAGTCCGAGTTTCAGCTACATGCAGAGAAATGGAACTCGCAAAATCTTGCCATTACGCGGTATTAATTAAATCTCTGGACCACCAAGGCACCTAGGATGAGGAGCTCCTGGCTATAATAGTAGTCCTAACAGAATTGTGATATCACTTCTTACTCGTGCCCGTATAGCATTAGTGAAGAGCGCAACATAGATAAGTACCTAGGTACCTACCTTCATACAGGTACGCCTTGAACATCACATTCGATACTGTCAACTTCGCACGTACCAGTAATCTTTAATTACTTGGATCATGATCGAAACTCGACCAGGCATGGGCCCAATCTCCCCTGACACGCTCGCCTACACAGGCTCGGCGTTAGATGCCCTCGAAGAATTGGCTAAAACGCAGACATATGTCGAGTTGCTCCATACGGCGCATTCTTTGTGGTGTGGCGGTTCGTGTTCCCGCAGCATCGAGTGCAAATTTCTTCATTATAGGATGCCAAAGTCCCGGGCTCCTGAGAAACCAAACTTGGTCCCAAGTCATCGCTATAACAAACACACGGCTAACTATTTTACTCTCATGGGCGGTGAGGGTTACGAGCCGGGATTTTCACAAGAGCATCAAGTTAACTTTTGGCCTCCTCTTGAAGCTGTTCTACATCGAATCGACCAAGCCCGTGAGAAGAGCAGCTTCTTGTTCTGTGACTATACGGATTGGACAAAGAAGCAAGATACCTCAGCCAAGCAAACGGCCCAAGGCCTTTGCCGGGATATAATCCAATGGCTGGCCATTTGGACCGGTATTGATCTCAAGACTTCACCCCTTAGCATGTGGCTTACGGCCATGATTGCCTCTCCGGATGATTTTTGTATACCTCCGCTGGATGTTGTGCACCAGAAATTCCGATTATATGGTCGTTCCCTCCGTGACCTCGTACAGGCAATGGTGAACGACAACTGGGGCCGGGATGCAACCCATGTGCTGCTTGATTGCATCCGCCAACTCATTTTCCAGTATGCCGAAAAGGTCGAGTTTGAGGGTACAGCTAATAGTGACACTGGCATTCACGCTCAGATGGGCCTGCATGCCGAGGGCATATGGGATAGTATCGTACTCCGAACGCATAGTGCTGGTACATACGCCTGTATGATCATAGTCTCCCGGATAGCGGGCTTGGGTTTGCTAGAAGAAAACTGGGTTTTGGGTAGCTCTTCCAATTCTTGCATTTCCATGGACCTGGCCAAATCAGCTGCGCGTATTTACCAAGTAGATAACCACCAGCCGACCATCAGTTTTGGGGAGAAGAGTATGCAACCGACTCTTGAGAGAAGGAGAAAGACTGGATATCATTCAGTATATCTTGACATGATGGATGACTTGGTCAGCACTGGCTGTCCAGAACCCCTACTACACGTTGCCAGCACTTTTCTCGGCGTCCAGCTAGTCCATCGATATTGGGAACGTAGCTTAGGTTATCGAATCCCGATTCACCAAGCTATGGCCGATACCCTACGTAGCATTTACGGGGATGAGCCAACGGATGCGCGATTGGATGGTCTTTTTCACTTGCGCTGGCTAGTGAGCGATCATGGTACAAAGCACAAGACTGGTGCCAAAACCACGCTCTGTCCAGAGCTGCTAGCTGCGTGTTTGAAACGCCAGCAACAGCGGGAGTCTGTGTGGAAGCCTGACCATTCCAAGAGTTGTACAGACTCCAGACTCCCAATTTACAGTCCAGACGACGATGGTTCAGACGCCACCGAGTGGGTCGCTGTCGTTCATCAGCTGTCGCAGCAGGCCAACAACCCCAGAGAATTACAGAAGCTGTTGACTTCTCTTATCGTGGTAAACTCAACACGGTTGTCTATTGACCAGCTGAATGCTGTTGGCTCACAGGATGACATTTGGGCTCTTTGTATGGCTTGCAAGGTTGATTGCAGTAAAGACTGCGAGTGGCTGGCGTTCGCAAAGTATATCCGGAAACAGTTCTGCTCTGCTTCTCACCTCGCACAAGAGATCTGACTCAGAAGTTAAGCCCATGGCAGAACAAGCTTCGCATTTTCGTAAGCTAGGTTCTTCTACAAATGAGGGATAAGGATATGGCATGTTTACGAATGAATGAATGAATGAATGAAGTTTTCCTTGATCTATCGTGGGGTGGACAGCTTTGGATCGCGAATCTTAAGCTAACTCGGAGAACAATAGAGGCCAATAGTGTGTTTGAATCGAAATCTAACTTTGATATATATAAAGTACTAGGTTAAGCAGTTTTCTGCTCTCAGGCTACGGTTTCATATTCGAAGGTCTAAGTGACAGTATAAGTTATTACGTACGTGCAGTTATTAATTTCGCATGTACCATGTAATGCGGAGATCCCGTAGCGTTTCAACGGAAGCGGATCTTACCTACATCTATACATACATCTACATACATCTACATACATCGGCGCCTATCCCGAGATCCGCTAACATTGCCGGGTTTCCCAAGACTGAAATGGGAAATCCAGAAGAATGACAGGGGCAATGGCGTGCTCGATGCCATCAACCTTTGCGGCATACTATATGTATGTTCATCTTCCCATCTCGTCTCCAAGTTGATATCTGCTTCTTTTTGAACTTTCTAGATATCACTCCACCACACAAATTCGCCTGGGTTTTACAGCGTTTTTCCTCGGCTTTTCCTACTACTTTTCGACGAGTGGCAATGTACTTAGGATAACGTAGCGCAAAGCCGCCCCCTGTCCTCCCCAGCGAGAGTCTCTACGTATGCAAAGCCCGCGCTGTCGCGAGACGAGGGGCGTAGGAATCTTACGAAGACTTTACGGAAAGTGTTCAGACGCCCACTCACAAACTTGCTCATGTGTGGGACCATTCTTGAGTCACCCGCAAGATCCATGAGGATGTCGGTCTTCGATTTTCACGTTCGCTCATAATTAGTGGGAGAGTCAGGATTAAACGGCGATGTGCAACCGACGCTGAAAGCTCGGGATCTAACTAGACCCATTACATGCAAATGTAATCGGCGACCTCATCACCAGATGGAAATCCGCCTCTCTGACGAATTATACGCAGTCACTGTGGGGCATGAATTCGGTGCTTGTCGTCGCTCGCGATAGTCTTACTTCATACTATCGTTGCTGGACTATCGTGGCCTGTTTTCAGAGTTGACGAGGTTACATTTTCCTCGGTAGTCTTGCGCTCGTAAGCAAGGTCTAGATGAAAAACGAAGAAGTAAACAGGGATGAAGAGATCAGAACGCAGCGATACGGAATGCCAAACTGACGAGTTCATGGGAAATCTCTGATCTCCGCTCGGCGATATCAACGCACTTGAAGAGACGATGCCAAGCGCGCTTTCTCCTCCTTATTCCCGGCGAGGAGTGAAGTGCTAATAGTTGCTAACATTCGCGGTGGTGCGATAATTATAATTATCTAGTAGTTTAACCTACTATATAAGGACGATTCTTGCCGCCGTTTCTCGATATCAATTATGCTTGAATCATCAGAGTTCACCGGTTTCAAGATCCTTCAGTTATTCTAAATCTTCAATTACAGCCATGCATTATCAACAGCTCGTCCCTGCACTCTTTACAGCGCTGGCCTTTTTACCCCTAGGCATGTCAGCTTCCCTACCTTTTGGTCATTACGGCCCTGAAGGTACCGTGCTATTCTTGAATGGCTTCCACTTCGTCTCGGGACACAGTGACTGGGAGATTTCCGCGAACCACTATTGTGTGATTATTCGCGACGATATGCTGCAATGCGCTGTCTACAATACTGCGACGGCACCTGCACGCCTAGCGGGTATCGAATACATTATTAGTTCTGACGCTTTCGAGACGCTGGACTACGAAGGTGAGGAGACTAGAATGATTAAATAAGGGACATGCAGATAACTAATGTCCTCTAAGAACGTCAACTATGGCACAGTCATGTCTATGAAGTGACTAGTGGTTTCTTAACCCAGCCAGGGCTACCAGCGTCCGTGGATCACACCATTATGAAGGATGTCCGTAGGTGCTCCCCGGGCTCGGGCTCTACTTTTTCTCCGTTTCCAGGCTTTACCGTCCATCTTATATATATCCCGTGTCTCATATTCGCTAACTACTGGTCCTGTAGTGGTGGGAACTTATGGCAAGACATTCCACACCTGGAGATATGACCAGCAGAACTCTACGTACCCTATCGGTATCCCTGAGCTTGTGATGGGTTATACTGAAGATGACCAAATTACCCCTGACTTCGTTACCAAGCGAGATGAACTCTTTGGTCTAAACACTACTGAAGTTAGGGAGTCGCGTAGTGATATCCCGCACCCTCCAGTTGTGCCTGGAGCGGATAGCTGGAAGTACGGCTATGTCTTGTCGTTGGGAATAGTTAATGAGACAACGAATACCTCGTTTCCTAACGATGGAAGTCAGGTTGTTCTCTCATCGTTGGCCCCTATCTTAGCTTAAACCTCCAGCCTAGCTTAGAGTAGTCTTGCTCGGGATCCGATATATTAGTAAAAGACGAGCAGATAATAAGCCTTCATAGAAATAAAAACCCACCTCCCATTGAATTGAATCCTGCATAAACATATATAGAATTGAATCATAGTATAATGAAACTCGAGTTACTACGAAATAAGCACCGAAAGCATTGAAACCATTCGCGGGACATAGACCCGCTGTCCCCATTTAAATGTAGACGGCGACTACAGCTTGCGTCGGTAACTCTGGAGTGTCTGACGCCAGCCGATTTTAACAGCGTTTTCTATATGTGACCAAGATTAAATTCTACGGCTTACGTTTTCCTACATAGTAACCTGACCATAAGCGTTTACCCTAGGTCTTCAATCCTTGCGACTCCTTGCGATCCCTTGCCTAATCGGCGAACATCACGCCCCACGATTTACACCAAAATAAACCCGTATTGACCATAATCTCGAATATATATAATGACCTGCTACTCGATAATCATGGAAGTTTTCAATAATGATACAGAGCATACCAAGTCGCTACTTAGTTCATTAACTTATATAAATAACTGAAAATAACGAGACAATCACTTCTCTCAATATGGTTGCATCCACGATCCCAAAGCTCGCAGAGGTAGATAGCTTGACGATCCAGGCAATAATCAACGATGAAATTGATCAGATCTCTCCGGCACCGCACCCAGCCGTCAAACACCCGCAGTCATTCCTAGGGGCTCCGTTGCGGCCCCTCCCGACAGACGTGCAGCGAGGTGGCGCCAAGCTGCAAATGAGAATGGATACCCTCTGCTGTGGCGCTCACGGATTGTCACTTTTAATAACAGTGACCAAGGACAGCAAGTCCCATAGTCTTCTATTCGACACCGGACCGGAGGAGGCCGTGTGGGAGAGCAATGTGATAAGGCTAGGCTTAGACCCAAGTACAATCGAACGAATCGTGCTGTCGCATTGGCATCGCGATCACTCGGGCGGGATGGCCACTGCAGTCCGGATGATCGAAGCAGCCAAGACAGGCTCGGATCATACTGAAAAGGTAGTAGTGGATTTACATCCCGATCGACCCGAATTCCGAGGCGTCATGGCCCACGAGCCAATTTCTCTCGAGCCTGATCCAAGCTTTGCCGAGATCGAAGAGGCAGGCGCCACGGTTTTTAAGAGCGATGAGGTACATACGGCACTAGACGACACGTTCTTAATATCTGGATCTATCCCAAGACTTACCTCTTATGAAGGCGGCATTCCTAACGGCATCCGCTTCAATTCGGCAGGCCAATGGGAGAAAGACGAGCTTATCATGGACGAGCGATTGGTCATGTGTAACTTGAAGGGCCGAGGGCTAGTAGTCTTCACTGGATGCAGCCACGCCGGCGTAGTCAACGTCTCGCGCCATGCAATCGAGCTCGGAGGCGGCGTCCCTCTGTACACCGTCGTAGGTGGTTATCATTTAGCTGATGGCAGCCCGGAAAAGCTACAGAAGTCGCTTGATGACTTAAAAGCTTTAGAGCCAAAGGTTTTGATGCCTGGCCATTGCACGGGCTGGAGGTTCAAAGTTGCAATCGAAAAGGAGATGCCGGGATGCATGGCCCCTATTTTCGGCGGCACGAGATATGAACTTGTTTGAGAGAGCAGAGCACCTATATATGCTCATGAAACTACTCCGTCACTCTCGTGGTACTGTGTATTCAGGAACAGGGCTTTTGTATGAGGACCAGAATTAGGTAAATATGTTTTTGTATTGCGCCACTAACACGCTTCTTCCCCATGATCAGAGAAACGGGAATACTCAACACTTCCATATAGTTATCTGCATAAGACGAAAAGATTATGAGACTCTTTTAAAGAGTGTTACTAGAAAATTTGCTGCAATGATTGAGTTGAATAGACTTAATCTTTTTTTCCTAACTAAAGGATTTGTCCTCGCCTAGGTTAATAAACACCAGTCAACCAACTTGTTCTAATACCTAACCTACAAGCTTAAGCCAACTAAGGGATGTAAAATGCTTCAACTAGTAATAAACAACCAAAATCTACTGTGTTAATAGGTGGATAGGTATTTTCGTAACAAAACACGGAACTCAAACCCGGTCCGATTTCAAATCTCGGAATTCTCAAAATAAGAAGGTTAGTTTAACCAACCCTAGTTTCACTTCCTTGAAGATGATCCCCCACATTTACATTCGATTATATACGAGGTTATTCAACTAAAGCTTCTTAATCAAGATCTATTAGGACATGCCGAGGCAAGAGAAACAAGCAATATCAGAACCGTTCTCTTTTCTTTTACGGTACGCCTTTTAGTTTCCGCATTGTACCTACTTCAGTGGGCGATGTGTCAGAGATTATCAACTGCTATCTAGCAGGGTTTACAATCAAGAACCCGGATTAATCATCATGTGCAAATTGCAATATTGGAGTTCTTCATGCCATCGTAAAGATGTCCAATTATCAGCTATCCAGGATTATTCCTCCAAGAAAAATATTTTAGAACTGGGAATAAAGAAGTAGGGGGGATGGGTAAATAGCATTTATCTTGCTTGCCAGTCTAAGTTTAAGATGCCGCTTTCGAAAGAGCTACACTCCACATTGGAGATACATGATTGTTAAATTAATATAAAGTATAGGAGGCAGCTCATGCATATCCCCCCCTGTATTTGCTGCGGACGTCAACATCTGACAACTATGCCTTTTGACTTACCCTGTTTACTCTACCTAGTAGTGACCGTCCCGCAAGACTTCTCACTTTAGAAGTTGCATATTCAACGAACAAGATGCTAGAAAAAAACAGCAGGTAGTAGCTGTGGCGGCATCCTCCCGAAATTCTTCTTATGTACCTACCTATGTAGGTTTATCAAACACTGGTTTGAATTGCTGTAAGAACAAGAAGAGAAGTATAAATAGAGAAGAAGCAACTATAAATCCCATCTCAAGCTACTGTCACCAGGCCACAGGCATCTCATCATCTTCATACTTCGTCTGAACAATAGCACCACCATGTCTTCTTTCAAAATCCTCACCGCCTCGCTTTTCCTCGCTGCAGGAACCATAGCCAGTCCAGTCCAGTCCGACGGCATCAGCCTTGTGCCCCGGCAACAATGCAGCGGCACCGTAGGAACCATATACACCGGCACCGCGTGCTCTAACTTTTCCGGGGAGGAGGTTGAAGTATGTGCAAACAGCATTACATGCCAAAACACGGACGATCAGACCGGAACAATCGGTATCGGGTCGATCGAGCTTTCAAGTAATGCCTGCGAGATTAAGATTTTCAGCGAGCCTGACTGCGGAAACCCACGTGCGCCGTATACCATCTCACGGTATGTCAAAATTTCTACGCTTCGTGCTATTCCAGGCTAACTATAGCAACAGTGGTAATAATCCTGGCAACTGTTACGCAACCCCTTTTCGAGGACACTCGTTCTCCGTGGACTGTTCTTAGAAGACGAAAACTGTGAACTTTGGGATAGCTCTTCGTATGCATAGCTTGCTACATTGTACCATACCTATAGTTGTACGTTCGTCATGTTCTAAGTACACTAGCAAGTGAGAGATATATAGCAATATATTAGCGATAGTTATCTGGGTTGTCGAAGTTTATATAATAGTATTAAACCCCTACGTTATAAGAAAACAAAATGAAACTTATTTACTATCACCTCTAAAATAAAGCCACTGGACATTGTTACCATATCTTATAAATGGCAGTTTTACGTGGTACGGTATTGCAGAAAACCCCTTACCCAGCGGATAAAGTTATGCGGGCTGAATATCCCATGTTGCACTTGGGTATAGGGGAGCTCTATCAATTGCCTTCGCGAATGCTCTACAGTCTGCAACAAATAATCGCCACATCCTCTGCCGAACATTCATCAAAGCCTAAATAGATTGAGTATAGTTATCATTGGTCGAGTAAATGAAATTTGCCTCATTGCAGCTTTGCTGCAAGTGCCGTGCGGAGGTGCAAGGTTCAACCCCCAGGTTCTTTGATTGAGCCGCCGGGGCAAATGTGGGCTATATATAACTCTTAAGAAGGGTCGTAGTTCCAGGTGTATTGCAGTTGGTTTCTGATATCTAATTCTATCTCAGAATAGGTCGCTGTGTTAATATGCGGACTATCTGGAGTACTCTCCTGCTGCCCTCGCTCCTCGGTGGAGTTCAAGGAGCAGCAGTAAATGTGCCTCGCAGTGAATATTCATCGAAGATAGAAGTGTAAGTTTTGATCCTACTCACTAATCTCTTACACTAGTTAGGCTAACTAAGGGAATTTGTCTAGTATTCGCAATCCTAACTACCCTCTCGATGTCGTCGATAAGCTGGAAGAGGCTACCATGCCCAAGGTTGAAGCATGGTTAGCTAAGAAGATCGCTACGGAGACGAACAACAACTGTACTCTAGAAAACGCGGTCGTACGGAGGGAATGGTCCGTCTTATATTCTTAACGCTCGCAAAAAGTCGTTTGTAATACTAACATAGTTAACAGGAGCGACCTTCCCGAGGAATCAAGACAGGAATATGTCGCCGCCGTTAAGTGCTTGATGAAGTTACCTCCTACAGTGGACAAGGAGAGGTTCCCTGGAGCCTTAAGTCGATACGATGATTTCGTCGCATATCATATGACACACGCCATGCAGCTTCACGACAACCTGCACCTGTTTGGCGCACACAAGTACTATGTCTGGCTCTTCGAGAAAGCGCTTCGCGAGGAATGTAACTATACCGGTTACCAGCCTGTAAGTCAGCCCCGACACACCAAGTCTTTAAAGTACCGTTGCTGATTATATTAGTACATGAACTATGACCGCTACTCGGAAGATCCGCTCAACTCCCCCCTGCTCAATGGTAACGCATCCAGTCTAGGAGGCAATGGCGTCCTAGAGCCTACGTACAAGGGCATTTCGCAGCCCGGTCGTACTCCCAACATTATCAAGTCGGGAGGTGGCGGAGGCTGTGTCACTGAAGGGCCTTTCTCGGAGTTCGTTCCCAATTTACCTTCTCAACAGTCCCATTCCATATTCTATTCCGTTTTCATGCAGAGCACGTAGATTACTAACATAGGTAACAATAGCATGGTCGTCAGCCTTGGCCCTACCTCAATGAAAACGGCCACTGGTGTTGCGAAGAACCCAAGAGCCGACGGCACCGGCTCGAACCCGCGCTGCCTACGCCGCGACGTAAACCGCAATGCGGCCATGGGAGCTAAAGCCGACCGCGCTTTCCATCTGATCAACGAGAACAAGGAAATGGATGGCTTCTACAACGAGCTTCTGGGAACCCCACCACCGAAGAACGACCCCTATCCCTGGGGTGTAAGTTTCCCACTTTCAGACAGTCAGGAGAGTGAAAGGTCGGAACTAATTTTTGTAAATAGATTCACACGGCTGGCCATTACATCGCTGCTGTGGACCCAGGCGGTGATCCCTTCACCTCGCCCGGCGACCCGCTCTTCTACTTCCACCACACCGCACTCGACCGTCTATGGTGGATCTGGCAGATGCAGGACCCGGAGAATCGCCTCAACGCTATCCCGTCTGGCAACATGTCCATGCCGATGCGCAAGAACCGACGAGCGGACGACCCTATGGACCCCATGGAGACTATAGTTGATATGGAGTGGCTTGGGCCCCCGATTAAGCTCGGAGAGACGCATGACCAACTCGGCGGGTATGGTGGTGCTTTCTGCTATGTCTATGTTTAGTTCTAGCGGCAGTATAAGCGGATATGATGTATATCTAGGGGCGAATTGACGTTTTGATTGTGTGAATAGTTGCAAATAGGTACCTATCGTTAGCATGGAACCGATATGGATGTGTTGAAATCTGTTGCATTATATGATGATAACCATAATGCTGTGGATGAACCGTTGCTCTGTTAATTACGCCATTGGCTTATTTCCCCCTTATCATATTTCATATATAGGCGCGAACGTGGTAGCATACTGGGCTTTTCTATTTCGACTATGTATTCGCGCCACACAGCCGTCTACTACTCGCCTAGTTTCTCCTTTCAATTCTGACATGTTGCACTAGAAATCCCACCGCTCTTCACTTTATTCTTTATTGATGCTCTAATTGGTATTAGTATGCGGGCACTCCTAGGTTCTGCTTTCGCCCGATAACGCCGTTTGGTACATGCCATCTACTGCGCATATAAGCCATGGTGCTGCAGCAGGCACATGAACATCGAGAGCTGTGGTCTTATCCCCTTCGGGATGAGAATAGGGATCATAGGTGGGTGATTTCTCATCTGGGCTCCCGTGGCTGCCTGACAAGAGCCTGACCGCCACGTTCTCGTTAGTCCAAGACAATAATGTTTTCATCACATCATCTTCAGCTGGACAAGGAAGTTCTGGTTGATATGAGCTTGACAACGAGGACTGTTCTCGTCAAGATCTGAAGAATATACCGTCAGATGCGGGCAGGCTTGTTAAAAGTGGCTAACGTGTGAGGGTATATTCGGTGTGCCTACGCTGAAATTGAGCCTACTCGGTCCGGTAATTATTAAATAGGGGCAAGTCGGTGGACCGTGGATCTGGACTTATAATCTCCTTTCCAACAGACAGGCGTTATAATCCGACGGCGAAGTCGGCAAGCTTGTCATTTTAATCGGTAAACTCATTGATAGCATCTACAAGCGCTTGTAAGAGCTATCGCCAAGCCTCCGCTTCATTATTGGTGAGGCCCGTGGGATTAGTGAAACCATAAATCACTCCTCTTTAAAATATCCAAGAGCGCAACGAGGTCATAATCTATGCAATAATCCTTGGCGCATATTAGATCTTAATCTACCTACATTTCCTACACTACGCCACACACCTACATTGGCATAGTACAGATCATGAAGATCAATAAATTGCCTACTTTTCAGCTCTCATATATTACATCCCTCTCATAGTTGAATTAGAATTCGAAGAGATCGATACATTAACCTTAACCCTCTCATCATATAGTGAAGCTTGGCAATTGATCCGTATTTCCTCAAAGCCGTTCGACATCATTCGTGCTCAGTCTTGTGGTTCTTAATTAATATTAAGTCTTAGCTCAACTAGAAAACGAATTCAAGGCTTAAAGTACACTTACACGTCTAAGTGGTGTTACCAATAGTCTCAATTCTCGGTTAGATTATTACTCTAGATTCTTAAGTGAGGCGTAATGTCTCTAGCGTCGCATTTGGTTCCTCTCAGTCATCTTCCATCCTGGACCTTTGTGGTTCATCAATTAGAACCTAATGCAAACCACAAAGATCTACGGCCAATATGGTAAAGTTCTACGAAGAAAAGGGCCTTCTCATACAGGCAATCACCCCGGCATTTTCATGCCGGAGACAGCATCTACCTTGTTCCCAAAGCCACCATGGTACCCATATCCGAACAGCTAAGTTGTATTCTCGACCAATCGTCTGCCCCACGGGTTGCAGACGCAACCCTCTTCTACAGCGCTATTTCGATATGCAGCTGACACTGCAGGTTGCTCCATACCGGTCAACCATATAGAGCGGGCGCATTATAAATACATTCAATGCCTTCAGGTCGTCGAATTCCTAGGTCAAGATGTAGGCCTCAGTTTTGCTTGAGCTTTGTTGCTATTGCAGGAGCTTCACATAATGGTGAACTTACTTGCGCTTTCACAGAGGCTACCTCTCTTGGCCTCCTGTGTTATTGCTGCAGCCAGCTTCCCGGCGATACCTTCTGACTTGACAACTCCGTTCCAGCAACGTCTTGCCATCCATGGCCCTAATGGTGAGTCCGTGACAGTATAAGCTGCGCGCTACTCTTAGGAAACCTCTTCGTGTTCTGCTAATTAATACTATATCCTCTAGCCATCTCTGTGGGCTGGAACACATACCAGAAAATAGACAAGCCTTGTGTTCAATATGGCACCTCTAACAACACACTCACTTCTCAGGCTTGCTCGACTAACTCAGTCACGTATGCAAGTTCACGCACGTACGCCAACGTGGTCATACTTACAGGACTGTCGCCCGCAACTACATACTATTACAAGATAGCATCGACGAACTCTAGTGTCGAACATTTCTTTAGCCCGCGGATAGCCGGCGATACGACCCCTTTTGCTATGAACGCCGTAATAGATCTGGGTGTCTACGGCGCTGATGGATACACCATTCAAATGGACGAGGCCAAGCGGGATACAATCCCGCATATTGACCCATCGTTGAATCACACTACCATTAACCAACTGGCTAATACGGTCGATGATTACGAATTCATCGTCCACCCTGGAGACTTCGCATATGCTGACGACTGGATATTAAAACCTAAAAATCTTTTCAATGGCGAAGAAGCCTTTCAGGCTATCTTAGAACAGTTTTACGATCAACTGTCCCCGATATCTGGCCGTAAAGCCTACATGGCCAGCCCTGGGAATCACGAGGCCGTCTGTCAAGAAATCCCCTATACGTCGGCGTTATGCCCTGCAGGACAGAAAAACTTCACCGATTTCATGAACCGATTTGGGGATACAATGGCAACTGCGTTCCCGTCAACCTCCGCTGCTGAAGCTGCTAAGATCAACGCCAACAAGGCACAGCTGCTGGCAAATCCCCCTTTCTGGTATTCGTTCGAGTATGGCATGCTCCACTTCGTCATGCTCAATACAGAGACAGATTTTGACAACGCGCCAGACGGAAAGGGGGGTTCTGCGGGCCTTAACAGCGGCCCCTTCGGCGCCCCTGGTCAACAGCTTCAGTTTCTCGAGGCAGACCTCGCCTCTGTAGACCGCACTGTAACACCTTGGCTCGTTATTGGAGGTCACCGGCCATGGTACACTACCGGAGGTGACGGCTGCACGCCGTGCCAAACCGCATTTGAGCCGCTACTCTACAAGTACGGTGTTGACTTGGCTATATTCGGCCATGTTCACAACTCCCAGCGTTTCCAGCCTGCCTTTAACAATACCGCAGACCCCAACGGTATGAATGATCCTGCAGCGCCGATGTACATCGTGGCGGGTGGCGCGGGAAATATCGAGGGTCTCAGCGCAGTGGGAAAAAATGTCTCGTTCAACTCTTTTGCGTATGCTGATGATTTCAGCTATGCTAAGATAAACTTTTTGGATGCTAATAACCTTCAGGTCGACTTCATCAAGTCTGATACTGGTGAGGTTCTGGATACTTCTGTCTTGCATAAGTCGCATAAACAGCAATTCGTTGTCCAATGAATGATGTACAAATGAATGATGTACGATGGGGGTTTAAGCAACGCCTAAATAAATGGAAGATTTCCCCTGAAATGCCCAAGATAGGTACATATTATTTGACAAGTAATCGCAACACATTATTAAAGGAATATTGTAGGTTTTACTGCTCTTCATCCTCTATAGTCTAGTCTCAGGGGCAAGACTCTTACCCGTGAGACCGCAAGCCAGCGATAAAGGGAAGTTGAAATTTAATAACGAGGTATACATTAAGTACCTCCTAATTACACGTATCCAGCACAATCCAATGATAATAAAATTCCTAAATCCATCGCCAATCATTCCAACCCAGCGTATCAATGTAGCTTATATGAACACCAAGCAAGCAAAACTGCCTGGTTAAGGCTGTACTTGAATTTGCCTCCGAACAATCACAACCAGTCGTTAATGCATGAATGCGTGTGTGATTTGAAAAGTCCCCTTCCCTTCAACACGCAGCCTTTTCCCTTTTTTTCCTATTTTAACTACTTAAATAATACACGCTACGTTATTACCCAGCAAAACCCCAAATCTAAGGCATTTCTTACTGGAATACGATGTCGTCAGAACCGCGCGCACTACCCTTTGATTATAGACTACTTCCCCTTGATCGATCGAAAAAGGAAATCAGACTTCTCAAGCTGAAGCTCGAGGGTACCCTTCACAGTTGGCGTCAGACATTTAATAGCGGAATAACCAATAGCGATCTCGAACCCCAGCTTAACGAGAACTTAGACCTCGAACGGCCCGCCGAGTGCGAATTACTGAAAGCCAGCCTAGAAGCATCCCCAGACTTCCACGCCCTTTCATACGTATGGGGTCCTTCGACTAAGTCAATGCGGCTAATTCTTCGAGTAAACAATCATTATCCCGACATACCGCTAGGCACGACGGATTCTTCAGAAACGTTTGAAGTCGAAATCACGGATAATTTACATCTCGGTCTAATCCACTATAGGGGGTCGAAGTCGGATATAGGACACCTGCTCATTTGGGTAGACGCTATCTGTATAAACCAGAAGGACAACAATGAAAAGTCGTGGCAAGGTTCAGATGATGCGAGAAATATGTAAATCAGCGACATCAACTTTGGCCTGGCTTGGACCTGCCCCTAAAGGGCAGCTCTTACAAACCGTGAGGCTCCTTCAAACACTAGCAGAGCTCGCGAATGAAGGTATAAAGCGTTTTGGGTGGGAGTTATGCGCATCATCTTTACAATATTTAGGTATTTCCAGCCCTAGGATGTACATCGATCGGAATCTCGTCGACTGGATAGAGAAATCCATATGCTTCAGAAGTCGTTGGTCAGACTCAAAGGCCCATGGCAATTGCCCTTATGAGTTTTCCGAGGAGACTTTGGTGAGACTAAAAGGATTCCTAGCATTATCATTCTGGAAGAGGGTTTGGATACTACAAGAAGTCACGCTTTCTAAGAACGTCTTATTTCATTACGGTCCCCAACTTATCGAGTTCTTACTGCTTCACGTTGGCCTCAAGCTGGTAGCAAAAGCCATCTATCTTCGCGACAACACCCAATTTATTGGCATCCTTTTGTCAGATCATCACCACTATAATTCAGTTCGAACAAGATCGGAACTATATGATTCCGTCAAGGGGGCCGCACACCTTCCCATCACTGAACCCGAATTTTGCCCCTTGCTTAGCCACCGTTTTATAAAAAATATAAAAAAATAAAAAGAACCGCCGGGAGAGTCCAGAACTCGCTTATCAGATATGCTCCATTGGAACTACTATTGGGGTGGCTTAGAAGCGAACATGGAAAGCGATTACGTTTTTGGTTTACTAGGACTTGTAACTGACCATGGCTCTGTGGAGCTAGTTCCAGATTGTACGAAGCCTTACGAAGAAGTCTACACGGAAGCCACCGTAAAATGGATTCGCGAGGCCGGAATATTACAATGCCATCGTGGAGACCTCATACACCCCTTATACGGCGCGCCTGGGACGTCCAAATGCGGCTAATTTTCATGAAGGGTGTTATCGAGGAATGCGCCAGTGCCTATAGGACTAAAGAGGATCGACACATAGCTTTTGCAAGTACGCTTTCCGGGGGCGGAGAGGATCGTGGTCGTTTGATTAGTCCCGGGGATGTATGGTCTTTCGATCGAATTTTCCGCGGGTATAAAGCTCTCATTGAGCCTTCTTATTTCGCGGTATTGTGCGAAGACCTCTCTTCTCTTTTGAAACAATCCATGTTCTGGCCATCCCCAGCTGTAGGTTCATGTGTTGGCGCTCACTGCCAGTCCTACGACGAGTCTCGGGCATTTCAGCCGACACCAGCTCACAGATTTTGTATAGATGGTCCTGGCTTTTTCTTCATGGATTACTTTTACAATACTTTAGAAGACATCTACAAGGGTGAAAACAAACCATACGAACAGACGATAGAAGATGAAGATGTCGTATTGTTTATAGACTTGGTCCAATCCCGGAATAATGGGCGAAAAATATTGGTTTCTGAGGAAGTATTTCTTGTTCTTGGTCCTCTGCTCACAGAGGCCGGAGATATTGTGACCTTTCTAGATGGCTGCGACACTCCCTTCGTATTACGTCCTAGTTTGGATGGCTCGCCCTGCCTAGTCGGCGAAGCTTATGTATTTGGGATAATAGATCGGGGATATACTGACGGCGTATCGACTCTTGGTATCCGACCTTCATTGAAGTTGAATGCAACCATCGACCGCCGGGGCCGTGATGTTCGACGAGAGTTTTCGATCAAATAAAAGCGGACATTCATTCCATACTCTTTTCATCATCGGGTGCTGGGTTCTTTATAATTACCTTTGTCAACCCCTATTCCCTCGTTCGAAAAATTGAATCTATCTTTCTTTAGTGTTAGTTAGGTCAAGAGGTCTTCTAGTAGTTAAGAAGATACAATAAACTTCAAATTAGTACATTGTGTTGTAAATCAAGTCAGACCAGACCAGACCAATCCAGTTCCATGTCAAGTATCAATCCTCCCGCATCTGATTTGGCGATGTTATGTACCGAAAATGCACCGACACCAACAACAATATTACTAATCAGAAAAGGAGAAGCGGCTATCATTTAATGGGAATATTACGGCTGTACTGAAGTAGGGACAACATTTATTTAGTGCTTATTAAGGTAATGAACCAAAATAGATTCATATATTTCTAGAGTATATACCTTCCTTTTCAAATACGTGAGAAATTAGATAGGAGGGACTGTCGAAGTTGAGCGGCTTTGCTGGAATGAATAGCACGACGCAAAGGTTCGGCAACGTTGGATTACGCACTGGTTCATTGATGTCCTGGTCTAAAGCTGGAGAGGAGGATTCTAAGTCTATATGCGTAATACGGCCTTTGTAACTTCGACTTCTTTCATACCTTTACGCCCTCATCTACCTAAACCATGGGCCAAAATAACACACCAGAGCCGCCGATCCTGATCATCGGCGCCGGTATTGCGGGTCTCGCGCTAGCCCAAGGCTTACGTCTCCGTTCAATTCCATTCCGCCTCTTCGAACGATATCCTCAGTCACGCAGCTCTCAAGGCCATCGCTTTCGCATTTCAAAGGATGGCCAAGCCGCTCTTGACAGCGTTTTATCTCCTGAACTTCAGGACCTACTTCGACGCACCGAGGCCGAGAGGTACCGCTTCGAGCCGCGATACGTAGATGTCAGAAAGCTCGAGTTCGCAAAACAGACGCTAATAGACCCGGTCTCCATGCCCGTGGACAGGACGTGGATTCGTCTATTGCTTGCACTGAACATAAGTGATGCCATAGAGTACGAAAAAGAGTTTGAATCGTACAGGGTTATCGGAGATCAAGTTCAAGTCAGATTTGTGAACGGATCGACGGCGCTCGGACGGCTACTTGTGGGCGCAGATGGCATCAGGAGCCGCGTGCGCGCACAACTCCAGCCCGATCGCAAGCTGCTTGATCTAGAACGCTGGCTCATGTGGGGTAGGACTCCACTGACGGACGATCTCAAGGAAAACGTACCAAAAGATATGCTCAGTTGGTGTATGTACCAGGATCAGGAATCGAACGTCCAGATTATTGTCGATCCTATGGTGTGGTCGAAAAGCGTCCGGCTAGAATCAAACGCAAGGCTACCTGACTTCCCCGGCTACCTCTACTGGGTTGTTTGTACGGCGCCTTTCCAGTATTCCAAGGTTTTACCTAAGGCGGCGGGCGAGAAAAAACAGTTTCTAGACCGAGTAACTGAGACATGGCATCCTGCTCTGAAGCTCTTGCTAAGTTCTGCTAATCATGACCTAACCTCCTGCATACCCGTTCTATCGAGCAAACCAGACATTGGAATAGGATCGGCTGGTCAGACCGGGCTAGTTACGCTTATCGGCGACGCAGCACATCCTATGAGTCCCATGGGTGGATCCGGTGGCGATACTGCTGTTCGAAGTGCAGCGGATCTGGCGTTGACTATTGCTGAAGGAGGAGTAACGAAGAGGAGTATTGCAGACTTCGAAGCAAGAATGGAGGTTAGAGCGAAAGAGAAAATTGAGCATTCTTTCAAAGGTGGACATAAATTTTGGCGGGGAAAAGACTGGGCTGAGTATAACGAAGCCAACGTTTAAGACCCGTCTCTAATATGAATTTAAATGGCGATAGAAGCCTGTACAGACTAGACGAATATTAGACAACTTAAGATGACAGCAAGCATATGACATAAACACAATCGAACGCTCCAGATATACTATTATATTGGTTCTACGATAGCCTATTGGGCCCATGCCTCTAGTAGGCTTGCCAGGTAGGATCTATACGCTTATATATGAAGTAGACAGAGGGTATGAGGATAAACTGCAACTTAAAGCGCGTAACCGGGAACGCAAAACACATCCAGAGAAATAGAATCAATCCTACAGGGTGAGACGCTAAATTTTCATCATCATATTAATTTCTACAGTATGGGTAACCGAGAACTTTATAGGGCCACAGCAGCGCCGATGAGACCGGCAGCCAGGGCAGCCGCAGCAAACATTCCGGTCTCCCTCGGGCTGGCGTTACCAGTAGGTATCGCCGATGCAGCCGAACTGCTTGCCGCAGCTACTGCTGAGGATTCAGAGCCACCAGTAGTGGATGCAGTAGTGGATGCGGTAGTCGTCGCAGAACCGCTAGCACTTGTCGTGGCAGCAGAAAAGCCGGAGGAAGAGGAGGAGGAGGAGGAGGAAGCAGCTGTGCCGCTGGAGGAGTCCGCGGTAGTCGTCGCGGAGACAGCTTTGCAGCCGCCTGCCGAGAACTGGGAGTATACGCCGAGGAGTTCGTCAAGCTGGCTGGTGATAACCTCCGGGGGCGCACCCATGTCGTCGGAGCAGGTAGTAGCCAGAGCGACTAGGTTGGAAGACTGCGAAGATAGATACGAGTACATGTCGAGGCAGTAAGAAGTGTACGCAGAGCCTTGGTCCTTGCCAAGGGCCGAGCCGTATTGGCACAAGCCCGGCAGACCTGACTCAGCCATGCCGCCTTTCACCGTGGCGCTCTCCATCGCGCTCTCTAAAGCCGGAGCTGGGGTGGGAAAAGCGCTGGACCAAGACTGGACGCGAGAAATACATTCCGGCGAGGATTCGGTCTCTTCCGGGTCGGGGTTAGTCAAGGTCTGGCGCGGCATCAGGTTCGGGATTTGAGCGGAGGCGCAAGCGGCAAGAGCCGCGAGGATGATGGCGTTATTAGTATACATGTTGTATGTGTAAATGTCGGTCTTCTCGAAAAAAAGAATGTGTTGTTAGTTGGAAAATGTTTAGTCGACCTTATAAACGAACGGATCGAAGTTAATGAACGAATGAATGAATGAATGAATGACTCGGGTATCTATTGATCGTCGTCTTTTGACTCGCGTGGGTAGATCAAGAAGATCGGCGCATCGCGAAGGGCACAAACTTCCTTTTTATAAGTCAGCATGTAACAAGAACGGCCCCTTAATGCGGCCGTCGACGGTATGCGCTACGATGTATCGGGATATAGCATTGGTAGCATTATTCAGGGGTGCCGGGATTAAAAACATTGTTAGCGTCAGGTTGGAAGAGCTAGCCGAGCCTTTTGGTCTTGGTTGGGAATTCTTATTCAATTAGGTAAATATTTGACAGCTGCCTAGACGGCTTTTAAGCATGAAGGGAATTGATAATGTGATATAATTTGCGATATATTGGTATAAATAAATATTGCACTACACATAATTATCTGTGTATACCTACCTAGGTACCTACCTAACCTACCTACCTTCTTATTCATCCCATTGACCGCCGGACATGGGCCAAATATTATCTCCACTGCTTGAACCTTCAAGAAAGAGTATTTTATGCAATTTGTGTTTATTCTAAGATCTTATCGATTAAATCGTAACAATGGCGAGGGTTTCCTTTTGGTAGCGAGCTTGATATCGTGATTTTTTTAAAACTCATTTGGTTTAGTTGAGTGGATTCAATTTTTGGCCCATGTCCGGCGGTCAATGGGATACCTTCAAATATCATGAGCAGAGTTGATCACTTCCAATAATAAACCTGTTTACCCCAGCTTCTTACTTTTTATACAAGCAGCAACAACGGTCTTCTGCATTGTTCCGAGTGAGCCGGGCCCCAGTCATCTTAAACTCAAGAGATCCACTTGGACTACTACTCATTGGAACGATCAATATTGAAATGAGAGTGCCACTACATATGGCCGGTAAACACTTGCGATATTTATTTTTTTATGTTGGGCAGCCTATGCGAAATTTAGGCTGTGTGGCCTTGTACACATACGTATGCGTGGTTATTAATTACTCGAGAAATATTAGGAGAAATATTAGTTAACTACCTAGGTAAGATATAGTATTAATAAATTGACTTAGGGTAGATGCCCGCTTGATGAGATATATGGAAATCATAGGTACCTAAGGTCCCGCCCAAGGCTTACAAAGATTTATTACGTACCTAGGTACCTACGTTCCGCGGCAAAATGGCAAAATGACAAAAGCCGAAGTTTGTAATTTCCGTAGGGCGACAGGCTTAAGTTAGATAGACTCTTTTAGTTGCAAACGCCGACGCGTTTATATGAAAAATGTTGTTAGCTCGCATAGTTGTCAATCAATAATACACAAAGCTCTACTACATTCAGCCAAACAAAAAGGTCAATCAACACATATATATACAAATGAAGAAGCTGAAATCAAACCGATGTCGACAAAAAGTAAAGGGTTTGGCCGGGGATTGAACCCGGGACCTCTCGCAAACATGAATAGGGTGGACCCTAAGCGAGAATCATACCACTAGACCACCAAACCAGTCCTGTATGTGCCGAGCACAAGACTTTGCCAGATCAATATCTGGGCGGTGAAATTTTGGCTCATTATTAGGCTTTATATCCACTTTCTAGCCAAGCAAGAAAGGTTTGGTGGGGTGAACTTCGATCGTATAAAAGTTCAGGTAACTACCAGAAACACAGATAACTCGAGTCGATTCTTATTTAGGTAGTTGAACTCTTTAAATGGCAAGGCATATATATATTATCATACTTAGATGTATTTAGGTACTGTTTTCTTTTGAATCAGAATTAACTAGTTGAAAGCTTTCAGCCCCAAATCCTCGATGATGTAGGGGGGCAGCATTGAAAGAATGTTTAAGAAATGTCTATTAACACAAGCCGAATCAAAGAACATTTTAGAAAATATCGTATATTCCTACCGTCTAGATATTATCTGTTCCTCTAAGGGTAATAATTACCTAGCTAATACATCGACTTGCTTGCGGGGGAAAATATTATGTTTAAATAGCACTAACACCGAAGATCTCTTGGCCCAACTGTTTTCAAAAGTTGGCTATATTACTGACACAAAAACATATGATAGTTATTCTAGTCTCGTATTACGACTATTATAGGGTCTCAAAATGTCAACTCGTTTTTTGTTGTCTATTCAAGTTGGTCATCAAGTATTCAGCGAGTGAGTATAGCCCTGCGATGCTGCTCGAATCGATTTCTACCGGCGTGCCACAAACCTAAACCTAAGGTAAGACAGGAGCTGATAACAGTGTGTATGATCTGAATCATCACCACTTATGACAAACTGGGTACACTCCGTAATTTCCAATATAGTGGCATTCGGTGAACATACTAGAGTTTTGGTGTGCAGTCGGAGAGAATCCCGGCTAGGATCATACCAGGACCATGCGGGTCTGGGTATTGTATGTATATAATGTATCCCTCGAATCTACATACGGATACTCCCTAGGGTTCCTAATGCTCACAAGTCTACCGCTACGGCAAGCGATTGATCGAGCCTCCTTACAGACATGAGCAACCGAGGGAGGAGATAATCCTTGTTCGAAAAGATACCAGCAGGAATTACCGGCGATATTATGCGAAATTTCGCCAGTAAGGCCAAGTATTCGGCTAGGAATGGCCAAGTCCCATATCATGGCTCGAATTTCTACAGGAAGCCTCTTAAACTGGGAGAATCCAGAAATGCCAATGGGCTCATGTAGTGTCTGAGCATCTGCATGCATCATACGAAGGACATCTCGAAGGTCATGTTGATTGCTCCTGATTCCTGCGAGTTTGTATTTGAGATCTTTAATTCCGGCCCCAAATCCATCCTGGTTGGTATGCATAGTATGAACTTGAGCTTGGAGAAGATTAAGACAGTCAATCACCCTATCCTTGGTTTGTTGGGCTCGACTGGTATGATCGATATTCGATATTCCCTCGAAGGGACTGGATAGTAGTGGTGACTTTCTCCAAGGCATCTTTCAAGTCTAACGATCGCTTTCCGAGCTCATAATCTATATATTCTTCCAAGAGGTCAACTTTGTCCAGTGAATTGTTGTGTAGGGTATCAGCTATACGTGCAAGTTGATAGGTTGCGTTGTTGGTGCTCCTCTTGTAGCATAGTTCAGTTTAGGCATGTTGGTTAGTTGGTTAGTTGATATGTTGGTGATGGCATACTTCTCTAGAAAGTCGATATCAGAAGAGGGGAGAGCTTCGAGAACATGATGGATGGATCTAAGTAAACTATATAGATAGGTACCTAGGATAGTGAGTACATGTAGGTATGAACAAGAAGTCACGCATTGGTGCCTAGAATTGACATAGGCCATCTTAGCAGATAAAGATTATTAATTGGTAGGTTAGATAGATACTATTTCTTCTAGTCTCGCTTTGAAAATGGTAGAAAACCCAGGATCTAACGTGCAAATGTGACGACCGGCGGTAAGAGGCAACAATCTTCGAGATTTAGCACCTCTCAAGTGCTTCCATAATCGGCGTACAATATTGCTCTAGAACACAAGATAGAGGAAGACTCGACTACAGCAAGTAACCTGGAAGACCAGGAACTTGCTCAAGCTCACCTACAATAAAGTGTGCATATGTACAATTTTAATGAAGAAGAGAAAGGAAAAGTTTCCAATCGCTTGCAGAAATTTTGAATTAAATGGAAGCGATAACGAAACTGGGGTCTAGCGTTACTTACGTAACCAAGTTTGTTAGGTACGTAGGTAGATACATAGATACATTAGGTAGATACGTAATGTGTATTTCTTTATTTCTTTGTGCCTCGGAATTCAGGCTTCAAGTTTTCTTAGCTACGGCCAATCAAGAAGAATGCGAAATAATCGCAATGAGCATTAGCGCCACTTCGAAGAAGCGTCCAATAATTCCCGACCAGCAATTCTCAAGAGACGTCAACGTCGTTTTGAAGGATAACTTTCTTCCAATTGACCACCACGCACCACCTCGTCCTATTCCTCTCCTCTCCTCCGTCCCTTGATTCCGTCGAGACGACACGATGCTCCGACAATCTCTAGCTCGTTCGGCTTGGCGGACTGGCAGCCATGTCGCTAAATCCTCCAGAGCTTTTTCAGCGACGCCTCGGCGGCCGGCAGAGGTGGAGCTTACCGTTGGTGAGCATATATCTTATATACGATCGAAGCGCTTAAGATAGTTGCTGACGCTGTTACAGATGGAAAGAAGGTGTCTATCGAAGGTATAAATCTATAATTTACAATCCCGAGGTTGTTATGCCTCTTACTAATTAAGCCCGCAGCCGGATCAGCTTTAATTCAGGCCTGCGAGAAGGCTGGCGTTACTGTCCCTAGGTCAGTCTACGAGATGTCCGAATAATACAAAAACCTTGCCGCTAATTATTTACAGATATTGTTACCACGAGTACGATCTACCCTATCGACCCTCCCCACCACGACCCGTGTTGCTAACAGCATAAATTAGGAAGTTAATGATCGCTGGAAACTGTCGTATGTGTTTAGTCGAAGTCGAACGTGCGCCGAAGCCCGTTGCCTCTTGCGCCTGGCCAGTACAACCAGGGATGGTGGTAAAGACGAACTCGCCTCTCACACACAAAGCCCGTGAGGGTGTGATGGAATTCCTCCTAGCGAATCACCCGTTAGACTGCCCTATCTGCGATCAGGGTGGTGAATGTGATCTCCAGGACCAATCCATGCGATACGGAGCCGACAGGGGCCGGTTTCACGAGATCGGTGGCAAGCGAGCGGTGGAAGATAAGAATATAGGACCCCTAATCAAGACCTCGATGAACCGATGTATCCACTGTACGAGATGTATTCGATTTGCGAACGATATAGCTGGTGCCCCTGAAATGGGCTCCTTCGGACGAGGAAACGACATCCAGATTGGCACATACTTGGAAAAGAACCTCGATTCTGAGATGTCGGGTAACGTCATCGACCTTTGCCCCGTCGGCGCTCTCACATCTAAGCCCTATGCCTTCCGAGCCCGCCCCTGGGAATTAAAGAAGACCGAATCAGTCGATGTGCTCGATGCCTTAGGATCTGCTATCCGTGTAGACTCGCGAGGCCTTGAGGTTATGCGAATTCTCCCTCGGCTTAACGATGATATCAATGAGGAATGGATCAACGACAAGACCCGATTCGCGTGTGATGGTCTAAAGACACAGCGTCTGACTATGCCGCTGGTACGACGAGAGGGTAAATTTGAGCCCGCATCTTGGGAACAAGCCTTGACAGAGATTGCGGCGGCATACCGACAACTTGCACCGAAGGGCAATGAGTTCAAGGCGATCGCTGGTGAGCTCACTGAGGTTGAGTCGTTGGTTGCCATGAAGGACCTGGCCAATAAGCTCGGATCTGAGAACCTCGCCCTCGATATGCCCTCGGGAAGCCAACCCCTTGCCCACGGCATTGACGTCCGATCCAACTACCTCTTCAACTCCAAGATCTCTACTGTCGAAGACGCCGACTATTTACTACTTGTCGGCACCAACCCGAGACACGAAGCTGCCGGCTTGAACGCCCGTATCCGAAAGCATTGGCTAAGGTCGGATCTGGAGATTGGCGTCGTAGGTGAGCCGTGGGAGTCAACTTTCGAGTTTGAACACCTCGGTACCGATCTTGCGGCCTTGAAGAAAGCTCTGTCCGGTCCTTTCGGCAATAAACTTCAGTCTGCTAAGAAGCCAATGATTATTGTCGGTTCTGGTGTGACAGACCACCCTGATGCCAAGGCTTTCTACGAGCTTATTGGCTCTTTCGTCGAGAAGAACGCCGCAAACTTCCTAACCGAGGAGCACAACGGATTCAATATTCTACAAAGGGCAGCTTCAAGAGCAGGTGCTTTTGAGGTCGGCTTCACAACACCCTCCCCTGAAGTCGCCGAAACGAAACCCAAGTTCATCTGGCTGCTGGGTGCCGACGAATTTGCCGATTCTGATATTCCCAAAGACGCTTTTGTCGTCTACCAAGGCCACCACGGTGATCGTGGCGCCTCGATCGCCGACATCGTTCTACCCGGCGCTGCCTATACCGAAAAGGCTGGTACGTATGTCAACACTGAGGGTCGTGCACAGATGACTCGTGCCGCCACCTCATTACCCGGCGCCGCCCGAACAGACTGGAAGATCATCCGAGCAACTAGCGAGTTTCTCGGAGTGCCTCTACCATACGATGATGTTGCCCAACTACGGGACAGGTTATTCGAGATTAGCCCGGCGCTCGCTTCATACGACATCGTCGAGCCCACATCCGTGAAGCATCTAAGCAAGGTGCAATTAGTAGACCAGAACAAGGGCGCCAAATCTACCAATAAACCCCTAAAGAAGGTTATCCAAGACTTCTACTTCACAGACGTTATCTCAAGAAGGTCAGCACGCTTTCCAACCCCATCCTCTAATATAAGCGCTAACAAGCAATGCAGCTCCCCGACGATGGCACGATGTTCAGTTGCCAAGGCAACGGGCAATCCCGACAACAACCTGATGGCCCCCGGCATGACGGAGGACAAGCCGATGGGCCAGGTCGCCTACGGTGCGTGAGAGGGTGTGTACACTACCCGAATTTAACGAGATTAATAGAAACGTGAACCTGGAAAAGGGGGAAGGGCAGGTTTTCGAGTCTATCGCTGCCCCTGCTACTTATCCGCGCTGGGAATTGGTCTTCCTTGATTGTTTTCTTTGTCACTGGGCGCATCCATCGGCATCACAATGTACATACTATTAGTACAGGTTCACGGAGTAGAAGAGAGTACATAAAGCGCCCAGAATACCCACGCTTCTGTGTTCAATGTGCAGATCTATCATCATCATCATCTAAAACCCCTTAGCACATAAGGGTTGAGCGGGTTGAGAAGCTCGACGTCGAGTTTGACTTTCCTATTCTTGGTTTATCAAGCTCATTTATCAAAAAGGGTTTGATGCCGCCGCGGTTCCCGCCATTTAGCGGTATTAAGATTTGGATATCGAGTATATAGAGAAAGGACAAAGTAGCTCGACGCAATCCCCTAGTTATATACATTGGCAACATGTTGGAGTACCTACCTAGGATATATTAAAGTCGCACATAGCTGAGCTCTATACCACTATGTAAGTCAACTGGGTATGATATAACTCAATCGATGGGGGGGTTTTTTTATAGGAATAATACTCCGAAGCTAGGAATTAGTTAGTTGAGAAGGTTTGTATTAGAATTACAGTTGGCAGGTAACATAGAAATCATGCCAGAACATCACCAGATATCATATCCCATCCATTTTACATCAGACTTGCACAGGAATAAACTCGTAAAGACATCGAATTTGATAAGAATCGAGCGAACGATTATAAATAAGTAAACTCTTCGTAATACAAGGAGCATATGTAAGACTTTGTTGATAGCACAAAAACAGAACTAACATTGTTGATTTTCGTCCCCGTCCGATTAAACCTCCGCCGCCTACCGGTTGAGTCCGTCTTTAAAAGCCTTACAAAACCTGAATACTCGATTCCCAACACAGAGTATCTATCCTCTGCAGAATGTCCACCTTAGCTGAGATCAGGAATAACAATCCATGCAACTATATTAGAAGGTAAGGTGAGACACTATGTGGTTCTTTTGATCGGTAGAAGGTTTATCCTCCATCCAATTTAAGGGGGTAAGTGAGGGACCGAGTTGGAATAAGAAAATAAGGGACGAATGGAGTGGATGCTTTGATTTCATATCGCAAAATCCATAACCATGATGTGTCCAAGACACCCAAGCGGGGCAGTAGCCTGCTGGGTGTAGGATGTCGTAGACGTATGATTCCGTAAATTTTCTGCTTGAGATGATGCTTTCTGTGAGACTTGCCATATGCGAATCGATTCGTCCGAGAACCGAATTAAAATCAATTAATAGCCTCGGATTTGTCCGAAAGCAAGACATAGGAAAAGAAAGAGAATAGTGGACGCAAAAGCAACCGTCCAAGTCGAGACTGGGACGAAGATGCGACATCGAAGAACACTGTTTGAGGCGAAAGATACGAGACCGTTCATTGATTGAATAAAACGCAGATCCGTTATGAAACCAATCGAGCAAGCACCATGCCATTATTGGTAAGCACGGCCATTGTATCGAGGACCGGTGGGCATGCGTCCTAAGCCAGTACTAACACCAGGTCCCGGTCGAGTGGCCACAGCCGGGTTAGTGCAGAGCATTCCGACACGAGATCCAAATTTGGATCCACGGAGAGACACCATATGCTTTCTAATATGGGCGGCAACGATCTCGCGGTGTTGAGGGGAAGCATGAGTCAATATCCACTGAATGAGGTAGTTGCCATACTGGTCGCTAGCAATATCAATCAAAGGGATTCGGGGACGGTCCACGCGACCTTCGCAGACTCGGTCAAGGTATCGTGCCAGGAACTCAGCTCCGCCGATCTTTAGGCACTTCTCAACTACCTTGGAAGCGTACTGGTCCATACTGTACTCTGCTGCGTAGCGGATGACGTGGTCGATTGCTCTGCTTCGGTCAGCTGGCGCGCCATGCTCACAGATGTGCTGGATGCACCAGTTTCCAAACTGGCCATGAGCGACGATGTCGATGTTGGCAAGGACTTCCTCAATACAAGGACGCTAGAGTCTTATTAGCATCGCAATTAAAAGTTATACATACTTCTATTATCTATTAGACGTACCTTGTCCTCTTCGAGGCAATTCTCGAAGATATTCTGAACGACCAGGCTTCCCGTCTCTCCAAGAGCAACCTCATGCCACATGCCATGGAGCGCATCGTTCACGTACTTCATGATTTGAGGTGGGGACTCGGTCCATCTCAACTCGAAGAGCTTCTGCCAGACATGGCATGCATATCGATGGATAACAGTCTCCGGGATGCGCCGTAATAATTCGTGGACCATAATGGCTTTGTAATCTTCCGGGACGGAATCAAACGCCTTCTGGACTACATGGCAGCCGAACGGGTCCATTGAGAGGTTGAGTGTGCATCCTCTAATGGCCTCTGCAATCTTGACCACCTGCTCCGGGGTTCCATGCTCGAAGCATCGTTGTACCAAGAAGTTGCCAAAGCGATTAACCATCAGTGGATAAGCCTGGGCAACAATTGCTTCTACTATTTCATACTTCTGGTCCGGGGTTCCGACCTTGAGTTTCTGCTGCAAGAAAATCGACGCTTGCTGATCATTGTTGCAGACAATCTTATCAACGATGTACTTCCAATTGCAGTTGACATTGCGATCAAGTAGGCGGCGGTAATTTAGAGGTTCCGTGGTGGGTAAATAGGTCTGGCCTTCAGATGCTCCGGGCTGTGACACAGTCTACATCAGTAATAGGACGAAATGAAAGAGTGAATAGATACTTACCTCCGACTTCCAAGGCGCACTACCTGCAACTGACGTGAACTCGCTCGCCAGAGGCGAAAGCGGTGTACCGACAGCGGTAGGCTGATAAGTAGAGTAAATTCCCGAACCAGTCGGAGCCGGGGTCGGTCCAGGCATGCCATGATCAGATCCGTACTGACCACTACCATAGTTGTAACCACTTCCGAATCCTGACTGTGCACCAAAAGCGGGCATTCCAAGGCGATTATCAATTCGGTTGTTCCGTCGATTGCCAGCGGGTCGAATCGTCATGTCATAATCCGGCGTCAGGCGATCTCCACGATAGCCACCAGAAGCCGCGGGCTCATAGGTCAGGCTATGATCCATGTACCCCTGACTAGCACCACGACCACTCCATTGGCTGCTCTGGTGTAAATCAGGTCCTGGGAAACCGCCCTGGAAAGAGCTTTGAGCACTCTTGCTTGGCCCCCAGATGTTACGAGAGCGGTTGAAGCCCGTAGCTGATAAGGCGTCACTGGTATCCGACCGAGAGTCATCAAAAGTAGACCAGGAATGACCACCTTCCCTGCCAATTGCCTGCTGAGTGCCAACACCAAGGGTTGTAGGACCCGGGACTCGCGATGGGTTAGGGGGAACCTGGAATCCAGAAGGGAAATCTGCATCCAGCGGAGAGCCACCTATGACGTGCTCTAGTCCGGGTCGGGTGTGACGGCTCTGAGCAAGCTCGTGGTCAAGTCGAGTGATTTTGTTCCGAGCCTGGGCAAGTTGCAGCTTTAAGCGAAGGACCTCCTCGTCACTGGGACTTCCGTCATTCAAAGCCGCACTAGCCGGCCGAGTGGTCGGGCCTGCGCTGCCGAAGTTCTCGTTCGCTGGTGTAATTGGTACCGAGTTGCTCGAGGGCACGTGGTCCAGGGCAGGAGGGTACATACAGTTCCCTTCAGAGGTCTTCAAAGCATCTCCCTGTTTGTGGAGTGCAGTCTGCTGTTGGGAGAGTTTCTCCAGTAGGTGGTCCATGGGGTTTGGGTCAGGAGAGCTGGAAGGACCTGATGAGGAGTCGTGACTAAGCTTCATCTTCTATTATAGTTAGTAAATAGGATACAGACGAAGGTGGCCATTAGGGTGAACACTAACCTTAGGATAGCTCTGGTTGGCTAAGGAAGAGGTCGAGAGAGCAGAAACCGACTTCTTCTGAGACATAGAGACATCCGGTTCCTGCTGTAGACAACCATTAGTTTTATCTACGTCATCCGAACAATATCGAGCTAGAGATAACAAGAATCCATCCGATAAACAGTATATAAGATGGATAGGGCCAATAGATCAATGCAATTTACAAAGGGAAAGATATGTTTGACCAAATCACAACAATCACTCACATATCGGAGGAGACGCGTAAGGACATCACTTACATTGGCAGCAGAGGTATCCTCTTTGCCAACCTTGATGTTTTCCTCCTTCAAAGGCTTGTTGGAAGCGGGGGTGCGACGAGGGTTCGGAGACCCAGTCGAAAGACCGGGAACAGCAGACATAGCTTCTGTCCTAGTCAGTACAGAAGCAAAGAGCGTCGCCGGTAGGAAGAGAATCTGTTTTAAATTGAACCACTAAGTGCCCAAAATAGAAGTTGACAAATGGCATAGATGCCTCAATTGCAACAAAAAGATTAGATGGTATAGTGAGAGTAGAGTGGAAGAAGAGTAGTGGATGGGGTTTGGGAGTTAGATGAGTAGGGTGGTGGAAGAAGTTGAAGGTGGGAGGGGTGGATAAATTCTCGCTGGAAGGGAGAAGAAGTTGCGTTAATATGCAACTGATGGGTAGGGTATGATAGAAGTAGGTGACGACCTTGACGTATCGAAAGCATGGCAGGAGCGAGGTAGCTAAGACTGCCTAGGTACCTATGGTGGACGTGTAAAAACAAGCACATGTATGATGAGGAAGTTGCTCTCCTTGAGGAAACAGCGATGTGACTTACTAAGGTACACTACATATATGTAGTTGACAAAAGAGGCAGTACCGATGCTGAACCCTTTACAAAGTGACGCGATTGCAGTGCAGAACGGTTAAGAGTGGCCAAATATCTAAATAATTTGGTATCTGCGAAACAGTTGCCAGGTGTGACCGTAGATGTACTCATATGTGTGAAGACGTGACAGACACAAAACTTGTGACAACCGCTAATATAGGGGTTGGAGGGATAGTGTAGTGCGCAACGTATGAATTCAATGCTGAGGATTGAAAAGGGGAAGGGGAGATATTTCTAGCCGGCTTGAGTCTGGATAGAACGGTACCTATAATCACGTCTTTCCTAAACAAAACGGAAGTTGCGCCTCGTTGCGTTGCTAAGAGACAATTAGTCCCAACTGCCTGTCTGTCTGGCTCCCCGCTTCCCCTGTGTGCTGAGTGACGAATCTTAACATGGAAGCAACGCCCTTATTCCTCCCCTTCACATGATGTAGGTACATACATGTATGTACCATTGGAAGGTATACATTAATACTCTGTACAATGTTTGAGTGTACATATTTGGAAATGCCGCTTTAATGCTTTCTCAATAGGTAGTATCTCCACCATCCTAGCCGTATCCATAGGTACAATGGCGATTACATATTCGAATTCGGCTCTGTGGGATAATCCTACATGTATCTGCCAGGCCAAGGTAACTACCAACACCTATGAGCACAAGGGTGTGGTGAAAGCTTCTAAGGATAGATAACCGCTTATCAGGCTCATATATACAGTACTCGCACCAGACCTTTGCTTTTTGCACACAGGCGTACGTCTGTATAAGTATATAGCTTTCCTAGTAGCATTTATAACGATTAGGCACCGAGCGAGTAGGCATTGTCGTGTATCCAGTCCACCTATTTCCCCTAGTATTTAGATTTTGAAATCATGCTAGATGGTGCTAACTTGAGGTCATGCACAGGAATACTAAACGACGGGTAGATATTAGCACCTAACGCGCTCAGCCGTCCATAAGGGTAGCCGTAGAGTGCCACCCCTTTAAGTCCAGTGAACAAACCTCAAGCGCCCAAGTTGACGGCTTACTATCGTGAATCCACGCTCAAAGGCCAATCGAAAGCCACGACATTATAGAAACAATATCAAGAAATTAGGAGGTATAAGGGTATAGTTAGTTTCTCTATATTCCGAATATTTGGTCTCGTAGTGATAAACTGATGATTTACATCCATAAACGCCGTTACTTTTGTATATATATGTACAAGGGTAGAGAAGACGAATCCCGTCTCTACTTGTGCTTCGCTATACTGGGAGTTAGTGCTATTCCAAGCAAAACGGGAGGAATGGATCATACAAGCAGGGGGGCCAGTCTTTTTCTTCGGTGCACCTTTTCCGCGCGACCTCACTCTATATCTTGGTTAGATTCCGACATGTGTGATACTTGTAACATAGAACATAGATATGACTTACCCTGCCAAGTGTTCCAACCTATCCTCTTCTTCCTCGTTAATAGTCTCCAGATTCCAACGCTTAAACGTTTTCTCTAACGTATTGATTGTCGGGCCTCTTGGGGGGTAGTACTTGGCAAGCGTTGGCCCTCTTAATCGTTGTCGCAGGATATTGTTGCCCATCCGTACCCCATCGGGATTGTATGTTGTGGAGAAGACTTCACATTGAGCCTGGAATATCAGTTAGTTTAATTCATTACAAAGCCAACCAAAAAATGAAACATGCCTTCATGAGGTTCAGCAGCCTCGCACGAGGGACAGCCGCCATTTTGACCTTTTATGCTGCAGCTTTTGCTTGTCGCACAACTAAAGATGAAGTTGTCGCAGTCAGTTTGACCACTCAATTGAACGTGGGGCGCGTTTGTCGGGGAAAATTCGGTTAATTATTTTCTTTCAGGTGGCGCATACCTTCAGTCAAGGCATATTATTTACGCACCTAACCTACCTAAACCTACCTAAACCTACATGTAAGTACTTCAGGTACCACTTCACTTCTTCAAATCTGCAAAACAGTTGCGCTGTTGCAGTACGGCTTAATTTTTATCAGCAACTCTTCCACATATAATCCTCTCAAGTTTTAATAAGTATACCTGCAGAATCTATAAGCGCCATGTCGAAGCGTTTGTTCGCGGAGGTCGACTCCAATAACAGCCCCGAGAACGCTACATCAGTTTCTCAAATATTAAAACATGCTGAAAATCTGCTAAAAACAGTCAAAGCTCTGAATGAGGAGCTCCAAAAATTTCATGGCACTTCCGATATAAATGACGAAATAGTCTCGGTATTAAAACGCCACAACGACGAGATATTACCTACCGCGCAATTACTCGCACAAGACGAGGTAAACATTGAACCATCCTGTGCCATTCTCACTACTAATTCGCGCTCTAATAGGCAAGTGCTCTTGGTCAGGATAACCCTAGACCGCAAAAAGCTCGGAAGCTTGAAGATGGGGGAGATTCTAGGAGTTCACTTGGAGCCAGAGCACTTCCTATCCCAAATCACGTGTCGCTGACTCGATGGACGCCTGATGATATACCAAGTTCTGGCCTGCCACCCTTACCCCCTGTCCTAGATCCAGTCCTCGAGCAAGCAGCACTTACTCATTCGGGTATGACATCAGACCCGACGAAAATGAGCTATGAACGGCTCGAATGGATTGGCGATGCCTATATCTACCTCATGTCTACATCTTTCATCTTCCAGACCTTCCCCAATCTACATGTCGGGCGATGCTCCCAGCTGCGGGAGAGGCTTGTTAGGAACGAGACTTTATTGAACTACACCATTCAATACGGTATCGACAAGCGTACGAAATTCCCCCCGGAGTTTGGCCCTCTCGGAAAGCCTGGAGCGACTCGAGCATCTGAGGTAGCAAGGAAAAAGGCCCTCGGCGACGTTTTTGAATCTTACGTCGCAGCTACGATTTTAGCAGACCCAGGGAGCCTACCGCGTGTGTCGTCCTGGTTAAAGTCACTCTGGAGCACAGAACTCGCAGACGAGATTCGAGCAGAGTTCAGAGGCAAGTCAAGTTCTAAACACGATCGCTCAAACAAGAAGCAAGATACGGACAGCGACAAGAAAGCTACAAGACAGGACTTACCCTACAAGGTCATATTAAGAAACGCCATCGTTGTGAATGGGATTAAACTCTCGTACAACGACGTGGGTGAACTAAAGAAGGATAAACACTTGGGTCTTCCATTGTACACTATAGGCGTATTCCTCGACGGATGGGGAGAAAGTAACCTCCAGCTAGGTCTCGGAAGTGCATTGTCGAAGAAAGAGGCAGGAGATAATGCGGCACGCGCAGCGCTGGAGAACAAGAAGCTCATCAAGCGCCTACAGAAAAAGAAGGAAGAGTTTATGAAATCCAAAATTTTGGCCGAGTCAACCCAGCAAGAGTATGACAACTGGTCATAACTGGGTAATATTCAAGGTACATATATAGGGTTGCTAGTAAAATGACACTTACTACCTGGTAGGTATTGATCAAGTTTCTCAATACATATGTATCTATGCGTCCACGCAGTTAATGTCATGTCGGGTAGCAGAAGCTTAATCTTAGAAGTATACCTGGCTGAGAAGAAAATCAGTCAGGGTGTTGAAACAATCTGGCTACGGTCCTTTACAACGTGAAACTCGAAAGTAGTACTTATATCAAGCAAAGCCCGAAGAATAAGACATACATAACTATTACATAATACAAGTAAGGTTACACGGTTTGCACATGTAGTATGTATTTCCATCTGACCTGAAGTTGTCTTCTTCACGTGCAATTGCCGGAACACGGAAGAAGAATAAGCTTAAGTCGGAGGGGGGGGATACGGACCCCCCTTAGATACGGACCCCCGGTCAAAAGTAGGTAGATTTTATCCCTTTTAGGCCTAGCGTGGTACATTACAGGGAAAACGCTAAATTCTCAGCTTACGATTGGTTAAAAGATTTTTATTTGCCATTTTAAGCATAACGTACTCCCAATTAGGCCTAAGCTCTTTGCTAGCTCTTTTATTATTAAGGCTTGGATTGATTTTAGCCCGCTTCCCGGGCTTTAACCGAGCCACTAGCTATTTTAAGTTATCGCATTCGACTTAAACCATAACCAATTAACATACGTATACGTTAATATTTTATTTTATTTTTAAAAATACGTTTTTTAATTGGTTTATTAAGTTTAAGCTGAAAATATTTTTATACAATTTTAAAAATATCACGTGACGTTTAGAAATAACCACCGAATCAAAAGATTGTTTTTACAATAATATTAAAATAAAAAATTTAATTGGTTAAAAGTGGAGTAAAATATAAAAATAGAAAAGAAAATATTAAAAAAAAGAATACATCGAGTTTACGTGAAAAAAAGTAGGCCCCTAGTAAACCCTTGAAATATGATTGGCTCATCTTGCAGGGGGTCCGTATCTAAGGGGGGTCCGTATCCCCCCCCTCCGACTTAGCACTAATTTAACTAGGTACCTAGCACGCGAGCGGCCACCGCCGAAATTGTATTGGTGTAGGTACAATTAGGTACATACGCACTGCATACAGAAGGAGCAGTACATACCTACATGTATGTACATATGGCGGAAGGTTCTGAAGGTTCCAGACAAGGTACCTAGTCCCAGTAAAGAATGGATCCAATTCTACGCCGAGGCAATTGCATTCCCCTAACACCCGAATAAACTACCTATCGAAAGTTTCCCCATCATGGGGAGAATTGCTCCTAGTTGTTCCAGCTCCAGCTCCAACTCTACATATGATCGACATCCATTTAAAGCTACCTACCTAATAATTATACAACAAATACTTATTACTTACCTACTTTACTTCCGATAATTCTAACCAGTGGTTTAACGTAACCGTGCCATATCAAACCAGCTCAGACCTATATACAATACCTAAACTATCCTTAATATTTCATCCATCTGCTTGCATTTTCCCACCTGTATAGATGACGTGTTCCTAACCTCGGGTTCCCATTGGTAGCCGAGGGACCAACGCAGGAACCAACGCATTGGGCGGTGATCCTTCATCTGCTTTGGCGCCGCGTCGACGTGCTCCCTGGGGGAACAATAACCGGGCTCGCTACGCATACCTACGGTATTCTGCTTGCCACGCCTCTAACGTACCACATTTATCGAGCTCGTACTAGTAAATGTAGGGATTGGGGGTATATAGATAGAACGAGAAAAGAACTAGAGGCCCGAAGTTCTTGACAATACAGATGAGCGGTTCAAAATGGCCGACTCAGTTGGTATGTCCCCCGAGCACCAAAGCCCGCCATCACCGGGCCAGCCAACCAATCCAACCAAGCGCCCCGTTCCTCTCTCTGCATTGCTTTCAACTTCCCAATCCATCAGCCCGTCGCTAATCGAGTCCCCACACGAAATAGACCGCGTGTTTGTCCACGCGCTGAACACGGTCAAGAAGATCCCCAAAACGGGAGCGGCGCGACCCCCGCCGAACGACCGGCTGCGGCTATATGGCCTATATAAGCAGGCGATGGAAGGTGACGTAGATGGTGTGATGGAGCGGCCTGAGCACCGGCCAGGTGTCGACGTAGACGAGTTGCAACGCGAGCAGGACAAATGGGACGCGTGGAACGCACAGAATGGCCTTAGCCGAACAGAAGCTAAACGCCGGTACATCGAGGCACTGATCGAGACTATGCATCACTATGCCAACACACCGTAAGTTTCTTCGACTACCCCCGCAATAACCATATAGTGGGCCATAGTATCTTTGTAGTGGGGATGGTGGCGGTCGGTGGAAGGTGAGCTAATATAAAATATTTGTAGAGACGGTAAAGGACTGGTTGCAGAACTCGAATTTGTCTGGGACCAGATTAAGAATAACAGCCCCTCGTCATCTGATGCATCACCGAAGGATGCTATATTTTCCGAGCCCCGACATTTCCAAGCACCATTAAGTGGGACGGAGGGACCTATGAAGGTGCTCAGCCCAATGAGCGAGGACGATGCTGCGGAACAGGAGTATCGCCAGAGACAGGGCGACGAAGACGATGGAGAATACGTGAAGAAGGGCGATAGGTGGTCGCGAAAAGTAGAGCGCGCCGTAGTAAGGTTATCCGCTGAGGTCGCGGCTCTACGGGAACAAATTACGGCCGGGCGCGAGTGGAGGTCTAAGAAGGAAAAGAGCTTCAAAGCATGGACTAGTTGGATGTTATGGATTGTCTCGAAGCATCTTGCAGCAGATATGGTGGTTTTGGGTATCGTATTACTTTGGATGCGGAGGCGCAAGGATAGGCGGCTCGAAGATCATGTCAGAGCGATATTAAAGCTAGGCCGCGAATACGCAAGGAAGATACTGCCGTCAAGGTGAATATTGGCAACGGTGTGTCATGCATTATGAACATTGGCTATCTTGCCTATTCGTATTGCTATCACGTCATCTATTGCATTCCTCGCAGGTCGTATGCGACCAACCCGAACGATAAAGCCAACGCGAAGCCGATCCTACCTACATGAAGATAAAAGCAAGAAGTTACGAAGAGAAGATTTTACATTGTTAACGTATACGTCACGCGACCAAGACACATCATCGTTTAGGTCCACGACTCGGGGTAACAAGATCTCTAATTAACTTAATATTCGTCCAGAGACGCCATTCCGATATCCTTCTATTCTGACTTCGGCTGCAGCCCAGGGGATGGACCTGAGGGTGGAGCTATAAGCGGTAGCCAAGCGCACCTGTCTCCCGTGAAAGTCTCGGAATCGGGCTTGTGATCATCCAGCCACGTGGGGTCAGCGAGACAGCCGACGAAGAACAGCATTATATTGGAATTTGGGTTTCCCTGGCCGATGAAAATGGGAGTATAGCAAGTGGGGCAGCGGAAGACGTTCTTGACGTTGTTCTCTGTTTCTTCCTCTCCGACATAGTAAGAGAAAGCCTTCAGTTCTGCTAAACGGGCGTGAATATGGGTTCTCTCATCTTGACGTGGCATAAGGAGCAAACATGGAAGGCCGCAGGGAATACGGAGAGCTTACCAGTATTGCACCTCCAAGTGAGCATGCTGTTGTTCCGGACGAGCAAGAAGTCACCGTGGGTTCCGCCGGTAATTTTCTTGCACTCGCGACAATGGCAGATACGCTAATTCCGAGTCAGTTTCAAAGTCGCTAACGCATCGGATCACAGCGATGGCAACTTACCTGGAGGGGGACATGACCGTGAATTGTAGCGGAAATCTACGAGAGCACGTTGTCAGCATATATTTCTTGTCGGGGAGTTCTTAGTGGTATACGGACTTTACCACACAAACACTCGATTTCCAGGGAAATATCACGTCCAAACGGAGCGATGCCAGGCCTGACGGGAGGCCATTGGATATCCATGATGTGAACCATGCTACCGTGTACAGCAGGTTGGAAACTCAACCCCGACATAGCGTTCTTAGGATCAGAGACCTTCCTCTGGGGTAGGATCCTCTTGATGCTAAATCTGGACAGATAATGGGGAGGAGAGAAAGGACTGCATTAGCCCTAAGGGGTAGAGACAGAAAGAAATATAACAGGCTCGTCCAAGTACCTATACCTAAAAACACAGGTTGGGTGGAACTTTCTGTTGCTATGCAACAATCATTTGAAGCATACGGAAACCCCAACGAATTAGTAGGGGAGGGGACTATTTATTTGGAGTTTCGACTAGTCACAGCTCATCTAGTACTACCAGTCCGGCAACAGATTGCCAGTCAAGGAGCTAGGTAGCGGGCATGAAGCTATCATCGATGAGTTGGTTCCTAGTAGAGGTGCTACGACGTGACGGATATCACACCTGTTTCCAGCTGGCCAACAGAAATCAGACGGAAAATATTCGTGACTATTATCATTTTAGTCTCATTGCGGCCAAACTTATGACCTTTGCAAGCAGCTCAGGTCTATAGTTAACGCTCTCATCTTAATCGTAATTTAATATGTTAGATAATCGTTATATCTTCAGTCAGGTGAACCTTATTTTGAGATGTGTGTAGTCTTGTGAGAAGATGATTGCCTGGACGCCCATTTTAGATCCAGGTGATAAGTAGAGGCAGTAAAAAGTAAAAGTACATCATTTATCATGTGTATTTACTTCTAGCTACATATGTAGTTTATATCGTTATTCGCATTAAACATTTTGTGCCATCTCTCATATCAAGCCAGGTCATAACCTATACGTATACATCTCTTACTTTACTTACCTCCTAGCAAATCTGCTCGTCTTTCGGATTCGCTTTCCATATCGGAAAAACAGGTACGGGAAAGGCATCATCGCCACTGTGAGGAATGCTAACAAGCTAGACCCCCATTGGTAACCAAGTTTATGATACATCTGTATTCCGAAGAGGGGAAATGCGGCTATTAAAAAGTTAGGTTAGTAGATGGTGCGTATCAAGGGGTGTTCACTTCTGAGTTTCAACTTACCAGCGAAAGTACACCTAGCGAAGCTGTTAGCAGCAAGGGCCGAAGCAGCGTAGAGCGGGTACGCATCCACTGTTACGATTGCCCGTTAGTCGTGAAATCCAGAAACTGCAATCTCGTGGGTTTCTCCAACTTACCGAGGAAGGTGAATATTCCGGTAAACACCAAGAGTGTACCGGAACCGAATATAGCAGATCCAATGATAGGTACCATCCAATGAACCCAAGGATATGCGGTCCAAGCAAATATGAAAAGCCCAATAGGAACCGCGACAGCACCTGCAATTGCTGGTGGCAGTCGGAATTCAGGTTCCGGTATACCGTCATTTTGCTCTAAAAGCCGCTCGTTAATGCGCCGCCATATGGGGTCAGTTGCAGCGGCGACGATCATTCCGATAAAGATTCCGAGGAAGCTTAGACCGGTTTGCCAGAGATTGAAACCGTAAGTATTACCAAAGACTAGGGGGAATGCTCCGAAGAACAGGTATAGGACTCCCAACAAAATAGCAGAGAACAGGCAGAGCAATAGACACATTGGCTCGAATATCAGCAACTCAAATGGTCGTAGGAGGGAATGTCCAATGGTCACCGCCACGGACTTGGTCGATTTTTCCATCGGTGATTTCCATCGGTCGTCACCGGTCTCTTTTCTTAGTTTTCTAGCTTTCTCTCGGAGCCTGATGGGGTCTAAATTATGGTTAACACTCACTCTCTAGGTAATATCCTTTATGATCACGTACGGTATGTCTCCGGTGCAAAAATAGCAATCATGACCAATTCAAGGAAAGCCCAGATGATCATTGCCTATCAACATTCAAAAGTTAGCAACGTGGGCCTTGAGATTATATCCAAAAACATACGTAGTACGTCCACCTCCAAGTTGTGTTGTAGTTGATAAATCCACCGAGTAGAGGACCTAAGCTAGGACCTGCAACTTGTTAGTATTGGGCTATATGAATACATATAGACCGATGATCACGAACCGATAAAGGGGCTTAAAGATACAATAACCATTGGCGCCTGGATCTGGTCTCGTCTGAACATATCGCTAACTGTGCCACCGGCGACGCTGAGGAATGAGCTTCCGGCGAAACCGTCGATAAATCGTGCCTAGGAAACATCAGCCCGCCGTTATAATAAAGCTAGGGTGCCTCACGTTTCCTAAGTGAACATACCACTAGCATTGTCGCGATGTTACGTGCTACGGCACTTGGTATTAACCATATCAGAAACATGGCCCACGAGGCAATATAAATCGGCCGCCTTCCGATAAACTCACTCAGTGGGCTCATGAGAAGGGGACCAAGGGCAACTAGAGTTGAAGATTTAGCAAAGACAACTTAAGGGCTCTTATGATTAACATACTACCGAGGACAAAAAGCGATAGCCCAAGGGTGCCAACAATACTCGATACGTGGAACTCCGGATTCATCTGATTGTACGTCGACGCGTAAATAGAACTCGTACAGGTCCTACATTTGTCAGAATATGTTTGAGGTTGAGTAGGCCTACTCATGCGGTAGGTAGCCAAAGTACACTTACACGCAAAGACTTCCCATGCCAACAGTTATTACAGCAAGCCATTTGCGGACTGTGGTCATGCTCCGAGGACACAAGGGATCGTCATCGCCGTCCCAAGATACCTCGAAGGGATCTTTTTCAATATGACGCTGGGCAGGTGTAAGTGTGTCATCAGTCGCGTCGCCTTCTTCTAAGTCGGCGCACCCGTGTCCATTATTTGATCGCGCACGGGCGAGAGATGAGCGTATACGAGACATGTTAGGCTCCGCGATAGACTCTTGTCTGCTGACCGATCCGGTGCCCGGCTGGGAATCGGTCTCGGGCTTTTCCGAGTCGATCGGGAGCTCGTCCATGCCGGAAGCTATACTATTTGTTACACCAACTACGAGACAAGCCGGCGCTAGTGAAGCGTTTCCCGGCTTCACGTCAATAGCGACTTCGGATTGCTGATCTTTATTGGCGTTTTGCTACGTATCAACTAACAAAAAACAATATCGTACACGACAATAAAGGAATAAAGACGAATAGAACTGGACTCGCCATTCCTAAATAACCATTCGATCTCATCATTTAATGGGTTACAGTGGATCTGTTAGATGACTAAAAGAATTTCCATAACTATGAAAAAGGCGCGAAATAGCGAGGCTTTCCGGGATCCATTCATTGCGGACTTGCCAATCTAGGCGGAAAGATGACCCTTGGGGTATACAAAGGAGGTTAGGCTCAGGTACATTTATTAATAATAAATATTTTATGCCCCCGTCATGGCTTGACTCTAGACTGTCAGACGCTTATGTAAATGATACTGGGTGTGAATTCGACTCCTTTATTTATATCTTGACCGACTTTGGATATCTATCAGGAGAGGAAACATATAACCTAGACGTCTAAGGTACGTCGATGCTGGTTAGCTTCGCGAAGAGCAGCATCCGTTATGTGCCGAGATAAGCAAATCCCGAATTTGGATTCGAATTTCTGTGTAGGTATTCACGGCGCGTAGTCGGGGTTTGGTATACCTATCAAATGTTCAAATCAATGGCGTCAACACGCAATGTTCGGACCTACCTATTATCACCGACTACGACGCGTTCCCTCCGATTGGTATTATAGATGTTGGGATTACAGATAACACCCGTCTAGAGAAATATAAATGAGACATACCGCATGTTGAATGTTGGTTGAGCTTTCGTATGGTTTCTTTTTTATTTCTCCGAAAAACTTTCGGTGTATGAAATGTCTCCCAGTATATCTAAGATCAGGACTAAGGATCATTAGATAGATACAGAAGATATAGCCTAATGAAATAAAGTTAGGAGGTAAGAATAAGGATAAAGTTGCAGAGTTATGTCGTCCCTTAACTACCTAGGTATGTATAAGTTATGGTGAAGCAATGTTTAACTATCGATGTTCTCTTTATGTTTAGTTGAGTATAACCGTCTATAACAATATTAATGATTAAACACGCTTAATCGTTTATCAAGCTCCTGAGCCCCTCTACCCTTGCCCCGCAAATCGGAGTCGCGCCTCCATTGCCACGAGCGTTTACAAGTTACATACCTGATATTCTATTGGCCAATTTCCTTTTTAACCACAAAGATTCTACGAGGAACAAACCAAATTTTTATGGTTCAGGGACCGCTTCGGACCCTAGCTCAAAGCGTCGACTCATACCATAGCAAACTTCATTGTTCAGACTGAAGCACCTATCTGGCTGATTTATTTAGGTGCCAGTTATTCATTCCATGTTTCCATAGATTCAAAAGGAAACACGCCTCTTATTAGGTGTGTTCTCATCTCATGGTGTAAATGACCAATTCTCTCTAGAATTCCTCGAATTCCTCGAATTCCTCCAGATCAAGTGGACTGGCTCCTTTCGGGACCCCTTGTCCTTATCCTTGCTACTCGTATGGTATAAACGCTTCTTTTCAGCCTTACACCTAGCGAGGCTTGTTAGTCACAGACGACACTCTGGTTCGGATTACACTGATCGTCATTAGTGTTACAGCAGCACAATGACCGATCAGGCCAGCACTGCGTCGGGTCCAACCCGAATCTCTATTCTTGGATCCGACTCTATCATCGTCGACCACGACATCTGGCGATCTTTCGTTTCTAAAGACCTCCTCGACAACATCAAATCCTCTACCTATATTCTTATTACCGATACTAATCTCCATGATCGCTATGTTCCTCCTTTCGTGGATATCTTCAATAAGGCCATCGAGGCCCGAGGCCTACAGTCTCGGCTTCTGACCTATACAATCCCCCCGGGTGAAACTTCTAAAAGCCGTGAGACTAAGGCTGAAATAGAGGACTGGATGCTCTCCGAAAAATGTACGAGGGATACAGTCATCGTTGCTCTAGGTGGTGGTGTTATTGGTGACATGATCGGTTACGTTGCTGCTACTTTCATGCGCGGCGTTCGCTTTGTTCAGGTTCCCACCACCCTACTTTCTATGGTCGACTCGTCTATTGGCGGCAAGACTGCCATTGATACCCCTATGGGCAAAAACCTTATCGGGTCGTTCTGGCAGCCCCAGCGCATCTACATTGATCTCGAGTTTCTCGCAACCCTCCCGGTGCGCGAGTTCATCAACGGCATGGCCGAGGTGATTAAGACAGCTGCTATATGGAATGAGTCTGAGTTTACGGCCCTGGAAGAAAATGCTGCTTTAATCCTAAGCACTATTCGATCCAAGACTGCCGACCCCAGCGATAGGTTACTTCCAATTCGAGCCATACTTAAGCGCATCGTTCTCGCCTCGGCTCGCGTCAAGGCCGAAGTTGTCTCCAAGGATGAAAAGGAGGGCGGCCTACGAAACCTCCTTAACTTTGGTCACTCCATTGGTCACGCGTACGAGGCAATTCTCACACCTCAAGTCTTGCATGGCGAGGCTGTAGCTATCGGAATGGTTAAGGAAGCTGAACTGGCTCGTTACCTTGGCGTTTTACGGCCTGGAGCAGTAGCTCGGCTGGTCAAGTGTATTTCAAGCTACGAATTACCGACCTCCCTCCATGACAAGCGCATTGTGAAGTTAACGGCCGGTAAGAAATGTCCCGTTGACGTGCTACTTGAGAAGATGGCCGTAGATAAGAAGAACGAAGGTAAGAAGAAGAAAATTGTACTTCTATCTGCCGTAGGTCAAACACATGAACCTCGAGCTAGCGTAGTCGACGATAGCGCTATCAGAGTTGTCCTTTCCCCTGCTATTCGCGTTAAGCCGGGAGTGCCTGAAGGACTCAATGTGCAAGTAACCCCTCCTGGGTCCAAGAGCATCTCCAACCGGGCTCTGGTACTTGCTGCACTTGGTCAGGGAACTTGCCGAGTCAAGAATCTCCTCCACTCGGATGATACCGAGTACATGTTGTCGGCAATCGCCAAACTCAATGGGGCCTCCTATTCGTGGGAGGACGCTGGCGAAGTCCTCGTGGTTACAGGACAAGGCGGACAGCTCCAAGCGAGTGACGAATCTCTCTACCTCGGAAATGCGGGCACGGCTTCTCGTTTTTTAACAACAGTAGTCGCTTTGTGCTCACCTTCAACCGCGACTTCGACTGTCCTAACCGGAAATGCCAGGATGAAGGTCAGACCTATAGGCCCCCTCGTTGATGCCCTACGATCAAACGGTATCAATATCAAATACCTTGGACAGGAACACAGTCTCCCAGTACAAGTTGATGCTGCTGGTGGACTGGATGGTGGTGTCATCGAACTAGCTGCTACGATTTCATCCCAATACGTTTCGTCTCTCCTAATGTGCGCTCCGTATGCCAAGAAGCCTGTGACCCTTCGCTTGGTGGGCGGCAAGCCAATCTCACAACTTTACATCGATATGACTATCGCCATGATGAAGTCGTTTGGTGTTACCGTTACAAAATCAGCCGACGAGCCACACACGTACCACATTCCTCAAGGTGTATACAAAAACCCAGATGAATATGTTGTAGAAAGCGATGCGAGCTCAGCAACGTACCCTCTCGCGGTTGCAGCCATAACCGGGACTACCTGTACGATCCCAAACATCGGCGCAAGTTCCCTGCAGGGTGACGCCCGTTTCGCAACCGATGTGCTACGTCCCATGGGATGCACTGTGGAACAGACTGCTACGTCAACGACGGTGACTGGGCCGAGCCCAGGCGGCTTGAAGGGTATTGAAGTCGATATGGAGCCTATGACTGATGCCTTCTTGACAGCATCCGTTCTTGCAGCGGTAGCATCTGGCGAGACGCGGATCACTGGAATTGCCAACCAACGCGTCAAAGAGTGCAATCGTATCGCAGCAATGAGAGAGCAGCTCGCTAAATTCGGTGTACATTGTAGTGAGCTTGAGGACGGTATTGTCATTGCCGGTAAGAAGCTGACGGAACTTTCAACGCCGAGCGAGGGCATTTACTGTTATGACGACCACCGCGTGGCAATGAGCTTTAGCGTCATTTCCATAATAGCACCGGGACCTGTTCTAATCCTGGAACGCGAATGCACCGGAAAGACGTGGCCCGGCTGGTGGGATGTGTTAGCCCAGTCATTCGGGGCTGGCCTAGAGGGCGATGATGTTGTGCCTACATCTCACAAGAAGGCAAAGCAAGCTGAGACCGGGTCTTCTATCATCATTATCGGTATGCGAGGCGCCGGAAAGACTACGACAGGTCGTTGGGTCGCCAGCATACTCGGACGCCCTTTTATTGATCTTGACCATGAATTGGAGCGGCGGGTCGGCATGACGATCCCTCAGATTATACAGGAAAGTGGTCGGGGCTGGGAAGGTTTCAGGAGCGACGAACTCGAGCTTCTAAAGGATGTCCTCAAGAACAAAGACCGGGGCCACGTCTTCTCTTGTGGTGGTGGCATCGTTGAAACCCCCGAGGCTCGGGAGTTACTCATTTCTTACCATCGCAATGGCGGCGTAGTTCTCGTTGTTAATCGCGACGTCGAACAAATGGTAGAATATCTGACACGGGATAAGACACGTCCTGCTTACACCGAAGAGATACGAGGCGTATATGAGCGACGCAAGCCCTTCTTTCAAGAATGTAGTAACTACGAATATCACAGTCCTTACCTTGATTCGCCCGGAGGTATCCAAGATATCCCTGCCGACTTTTCCCGATTCGTATTAGCAATTACTGGGAGAGGTAATCATCTTGAGGACGCCAAGAAGAAGCGACAGTCCTTTTTTGTGTCCCTGACTGTGCCCAGCGTATCATCAGCGCTGGACGTGATCCCGCGAGTTGTAGTTGGTGCGGACGCCGTAGAATTACGAGTTGACCTACTTGACGACATCTCCCCCGAATCAGTAGGAAAACAGATATCACTTCTACGCTCTACCGCAAAAATACCAATCATATTTACGGT